TTTATAAACGAGTGAAAAAGCGGCTCGTTCGGAAACGCATTGCTTTCGACTATTTGAACGCACCAAGAGGAACGGATTTTTTTTCATTTTCAAGCAGAGGACATAAAAAAAACTTCTGGAACTGCTGAAAAACGAAAATCCGACTTGTTTTAAACGCAGTAGTGAACTTTTTGTCGAAAATTCTACGTGCGTTACTCGAGCAGGTGCATATTGGCTTTGGGTCTCCATTATTTTATCGTTGACTTATGCAAGCTCAAAAAAACCACTAAAACAATCTCTATACTTCGCTATCATTGTCTGGAAATTCGCTCTGCAAAAAATACACTCATTTGGTTGTTTTCGTTAACTAAAATTTTTTACTAACTCGATTTCAAGTTTTCTTCTTTATGCGAGAAAAATATTTCGTAACATTTCACAAAATCACAGCATTGCCACGTACTTTTTTGGCTTGTATTTCAATTGTTTGTTTTGCTATAAACGTATTACCAAACAAACTACATAATGTTGAACAATATTTTTAACAATACTATGAGTAGTAATCGTTGATACAACATAATACAGTAGTACTTTATTACAATAATAGAAGATTGTGAAATTTTTCTCATGATATTTTTTTTTAGTGGAGCTACTTCATTCGTATTAAGTTCAAGGAGTCGACCTACGAATACGAGCGTGTATCTGGAGTTTTGGGGCACTGCCATTCACTGGAACTCAACGGTGCCGAAAGTCAGCTCGTTCCCTTCTAGTGTGGCAAGTAGTGCATGTGCGACTGCCGCTTTGCCCTCATGCAGAAATAAAAATTTCATTCATAAAAATTGACACGGTGTCTTCTTAAATCTTATATATTTTTCTTCACTTATATAAAAATGATGAACTGAAAAGCCAAGCGTTAAACGGCTTTAAATTGGTCGATTTACTTTTGACTCGAGTTGAAATAGAATAAAGTGACATCTAAGGACGGTTGGTGGCAGGCAAAATAGTAGCTTTTTCAAAGCAGGCCTGAAAAATTGATTTACGCTTAAAATCGTTTGAAAGTTTAAAGTTGTTTCAAATTAATATGCAGGGCCAATTATTTTTATTCTACAATAAAAATGGCACCTAATAGATTAACAATGAATAGAATTATCTTAAAGATTATATTCTGATTACATGATCGAAAGTAAAAAACTTTTAATAGTAAAAATAACAGAGTATGAAATTGTACTAAAGGCAGAAAATCTAATCGCTATTACATCTTTTCGTGGATTATCTTATACTACAAATGTTCGTATAAGAGAAAATAGTAAAGAAAGACGGGAAGACTTGTAAATGTTTTACTCCGGAAGCGCGTGTAATCTTTGACGAGACAAAGTGATTTGCAGAAAGCCTTTCTTCGGTATGTAAACGGCCTTCTATGTGATATCCAACTTGATCAACAAAAGCTTAGAATGTTTGCATTGAGTTGTTGTAGGCTACAATTACAACTTGTTTCAGTGTCTCGCTCTTCCTCTTTCTTGCACACCCTCGCTATGAGTATTACTGTGCATGCACACAAGGTAAGACTAGATTTGCAAGCTCGTCATTATGTATGCGTTTGTATAGAGGTACTGTCACGATTTACATCTAATCCTATCGATCATCATAGTCGGAAGGTGTATAACCTATTGCGGATTTGGTACAGACGCATGTCTTGATAGAATATCTGATCCTCGAACAACACCTCATTGAAATTTATTCTAATAATATTTAATAATGCATTCATGGTTGGAGACTAAATAAGTTCTTCGTTAAAATTCTATGCTATGATGTATTTTGTTCTAATTAAATTTGTGGAAATACAAATTTCAAACCAAAAGCATCATGGATTACTATAAAGTACGAATCATTTTCAATAACTAGTATTCACTAATCTTAATAAAAAATGAAATTTGAAAGAACGCCTTATGCTTCAAGAGCCGAATAATATGCAGTGCATTGCATAATTCTGATCAATTCTTCAAACTTTATAATTTATTCCTCACTTTCAGAATTGAAATTTCCATAAAAAACGCACCATATTACTTGGAGGTAGGTGTTAATACTTCAACACATTACAGACCAATTTTCGCACCTCTGCATGCAAAATTGGAGATTTAATGCTGGAGAAATCTGCAAGCAATATTAATTCTCCCATACTCTTAATATCACGCTGTTATTATCATGCGCAAAATTACAGTTGTACAGCCTACGGCTCTCTTATTGCAGCTAAAGTGTAAACGAGTGAAAAAAACACAACGTTTATTGTATTGAATCTTTTTTGAGAAGAGGTGAGAAAAGAATGCCAGTAGCAAATCTCAAACGGTCTGTTAATACCTGCAGCCAAAAGCGGTGGGTATAATTAATGCAAGCGCAATCCGCCGAATTTTATAGATCAAGAATAATTCATTGATGCTCTATGATTGGAATTTCGAGCTAACTTGTGTCTTTTTTTTCACAACTCACTGGATATAAGTGAATAATAATTTTTGAATAATAATTGAATAATATGGATAATAATTGAAAAAATTTGAATAATAATTTTTCATAGAAAATGGAATCTAATGGAAACAAAACATGAATGATAAATCATATCAAATATCATTTATTAATTATAAAATATATTTTTTAATGTGTGAAATTAATATGTGCAATGTGCAGTATTAAAGCTTACTACGACAAAAAAGAGAGTGGCTAGTAGTCAATTGAAAAAAAAATCGTCTACATTTATGAAAAATTTTTATCTTAGACGAGTAGATTATCAATCAAGATTTCATTTCATGCTAAGTTGGTCAACTGCTTTCGAAAAAAACTAATTCCTTAAAGTAAAAGACAATTACTACTGCAAAAATTTAGTCTACACGGAAAAGAATTCTGAATTTATATTTAAATAATGTAGACTCAACCGTAGTGTAGTAGTCAAAGTAAAAGGTAGAACGTGTAAGGCATGAATAATAAGATAGCGAATTTGTCTGTATGCTCCGTACGTTTCCTAATTTTTCCATCCATCTTACGGCTAAGAAGGCAATGTATACTATATATTATATATATATGTAGTGTTGACGTATGATTCATAAAAAAGACAAAGTAGAGCGAAAAGAGCGAGCCAGTTTTCGCATTGCAGAAGCGACTAAAATGTCGAGAAGGAATATATACTTTGATAGAAGGAAAAACGGAAGTGAGGGTATAAAATAGAGGGTACAAATACGTATCTTTTCGATTACGGATGCAGGTAACGTCACTCGATCTCCATATAACTAGTCAGTCGTGTGTACTCGAAAACCTTACGTCGCTAATGCTGAAAACTTTTTGACGAAGACTTTACTTCTCTGAGTATGCATATATAAAAGCAGAGGCAGTAAATTTCATAGAAAGAATACGTCAAATAAATTTTTTTAAAAGATGAACGAAAAACAAAAATTATCCATCATATGTTGATCGCATCCTAAATTATCCAAAAGAAGACACGAATTATTCGTCTTTCTTTGAAATGATATTTATCTAATTGTTATATTTATAATTTCTACTCTATTATAGAGTTCTGAATATTAAGTAGAAATTTCTTATATAGCTGAATATAATTGCTAGAATTCGATACGAAGGACCCAAGGAACCAAGTAAAAAGCTTTCAATGATAAGTTGAACAACTCTTATACTACTAACTACTCAGTACTTCATTTGTAAGCAACAATGACACCTTGTACTTAAGTGAAAGAGTTGCTGTGACAGAATTCCACGTCAAGTTAGGACCTTTTGAAGTCAAACTGTAATTATAACATCAGATCCTTTTAGCTCTTTAATTCGATCCATTAGTCTAGCCTCTCTGACGCACGTTGGATAGAATCAAAGGAGACACCATTACTTGCTCCTTGCGTCTTTCTTCGCACAACTTGCTTTACCTTGTCTGTACATTCGTCTTTTATATGAACTTAAATATACTTGCTTCTTTTAAATTAGTTCGTATATAATTTTAAAATGATTTCTTTAAAAAGTGACAATAAATACAGAAAATTACATCCAGTGGCGATAATGTAGTATCTTATGTAAATTTGAACGAATAAATTATTAGTAAATCGATGAAAAATGATCTTTCAGATCTTGCTAATCGTTAAATAAATGTTTGATTACTAACTCTTTCTTCAGATTAATTTCAGTAAAGTGAAATGAGATGTGAAATTTAATAAATAGTACTTTGAACGATCGTGATCAAATTATAAAATATAGGTAATGTAATAATTAAAAAGGATAGTTAATGCATAGCATATAGTGTAGTTTTTATCAATTATCAAGATTTGTTTAAGGAGGTTCGGGAGTCTCAGCGAAATGCAGCCAAATTTTTAAAACACGTTTAATTGCTTTGAAACTTTATAATATGAATGTTAATATCAAAATACAACTTTTCACCGCAAAATTTTGTTAAAATGATGAAAAAATTTTTTGACCATTTAACATGGTTTCTTACGAGAAATCATGAATTTTCGCTTTCAATGAGCATAAACATAATGTAAAAAAACAAAAACTAAATAGAAAAAAATACGTACATATAGGAAATTTAATAAGGAATAATTTGACTGCAAAAAGAAGTTCATCGACCGTTTAGTTATCGAGAAATAAATTGTTATGTGTAAAAATTCGTGGGTCATTTGCGCGTACCCTAACCAACAAATGAGTTAGAACAACAAAAATATGTGCTCATTCGACTCTAATGACAAATAGAGTATTGTTTTAAGCCTAAAACATCGAAAAAAACTCATCCAAATGATTGAATTATTAATAATAGCTATAATTGTGTGCCAGCTCATTGAAAAAACCTACAATTTCGTGTTATTTCGAAGTTGGCAGCGCTGAAAATTTAACATTGGAAGTATAGGAGCCCCTCGCGTCCCGCTTCGTCCCCCTCTGAGACTCCCGAACCTCCTTAAGGTTTTTCTGTGCAAATAAATGAAAACGACAGTATATTCTTGAAATTTTTCACTTATTTTATTTTTTTATAAGGTTTTTACAACTATATAATCTTTAATAATTTACAGTCTTATTTCGGCATAGCCATTTCTCCTCGTATTTACAATAGTTGGAATATGAAGCAGTTGAAGAATAGAATTTTTTATAATTTTTTAACATTGATTTCACTCATCTAATATATTTGAATGTACAACTCAAATTATTCATGATTATAATCTTAAAATAAGTATTAAATTTTAACAAGTTATCATTTATTTTTAAAAGCATTATTGTTATCTGAAAATTTTATATAAGTACATTTTTGCAACCATCTCATAATGGTTTCAATATTGTTACTTTTAATTCTTGTACCCGGTATAAGCATTCATGGAAGTAAATATTCAAAAATGGTGATAAACTTTCTCTGTTTACGCAGTGTAACAGTTTTATTGTACATTTGAAATTAGTTTTAATTGCATTATACAATTCTATTTTCAAAATAATCCTGTCACCAAATGTTACATAAATATTGAATTAGATTTACTTAAATCAGTAATATAGATATATTAGATGATTAATACTGAAAACAATGGTATAGAAATACATTATTGTTCTGAACAGAATCAAGCAAATTTTTTCTATCACAATTGGGAATCTTTTAATTTCCGTCTTAATGAATGTCTAAAATTGAGACATTATTTGATTATAAATCTGATTTTTAGAAACGCAAAACTAAATAATTCTTAGCATTTATCTGAATCATGTGCGATATTAACCTGCAGATTTAATAATCTGGAACACTTTATTTACAACAAGTTTTATTTCGTAACCAAATAATCTTATATGCCAATACAAATGTTTTGTCAATTAAATTATTTAACATGTTAAGGTGTATGGATTAAATGATATTTACCTCAGTGGTCATCTTTACTTACAACAATTGCAAAAAGCTTTTTAAGTACATTCCGATTTTGCGAGTGATCAGAGCTTTACAAATAATTTCTGTTAATATTACTCAAAATGTTTACGAGTGAAGCACAAAAAATATTTTCAATTTAAGACTATATACATCAACATTTTTAAAATCAAATAATATGAAATCATTCAAAACTAAATATTACTTTTTTTCATTTAGGAACGCCTTTCTAAATGTCTTTTATCTAGAGTCTGAGTACTTAATAACAAGATGTAATTATTTTTTATATTTTCAACAAAATTTATATTTTAGGCCTATACAATTCAACATCACACAAACATTCCACAGAGTTAATATTATTTTTATTTTAATATGTGAATTACTTTTCGATTTTGAAGTTTATTTAAAAGATTTAATTAATCTTTAAAGCAACGTCATTCTTTACCTCCGTATGATAAGAAGTTTCCCATTCACTCTTATTTTTTAAATATCATACTTTAGGTACAAACTTTCTTGAAATTTTGCAAAATCTTCATAATCGTCTATCTAAGAACTCGATTGGACAGATACGTTCATTATAATATAATTATTCATATAAAACCCAGTGAAATCGAAGTAAATTACAATGTAATTGTAGAACATCGATATAAAAATGTCTAATTATAAATTGGGGTTTTTAATACCTAACACAGAGTCGCCAAATTATTTCAAATAAAACTACGTCAGTTTGGAGTGCGTTGAGTTTGTTGGGGAGTACCTGCCTAATGTAAGACCTATTTCCTGGGTGTTTCTCGTTACATTTCTTACTGGAAATGGGCTAAATCCTAGTGGTTTTTGCGTTGGACTTGTATCATAATCGTATTTCTTATAATTATCTAATGGCTTAGTCTCTGAAATACCGCTCAGTGTTAATGATGAGGTCTCAAGTCCTGAATTTGGAGGACTGATGTCTGAATAAATGTGCTTGGATCTACCATTGGTATATATTAACGGCTCATTCCCCATCGGCTGTATATTTTTGCACGAGTTTGCATAAGCATAGTGAGGCGACATCAGTTCTGGGTCCTGATAAACTTGTGTTTTAACAGCATTACTGTTTACGTAAGCCGGAAGCTCCGATTGTGTTTCTAAAGGTGTTATTTTGTAGGGTCGCTGAAGAATATCGTAGCTGTCGCTGTAAGAGGAATACTTTTCTACTGAAATCGAATCATTATAATTTTTTGCTCGGAAATTCGATTCAAAATTATCAGGATCCAACGATTTTATCCCGCTAGGAGAATATTTACTCGGTGGATTCATGATCTGCTTAGTAGAATAAAATGTTGCACCTTTATCCAATTCTGGAATACTAGTTTCGAAAGGACTGAGTTTCAAATCGATATCACTATTAATGGATTTTTTTTTCATAATTAAATCAGCATCATCATCTCTATCGTAACACAAGCGAAATTCTAAATGTTCTTTTGACACGACTGGTTTCCCAGTTCCATACTCGTAATCCAAACCTTTTGGAATGACAGCTTTTCTAGTCAGTTCGAATATCGAATTTTCAAAGCCAGTATCCATCATATCTTTATTGTCGTACGGTCGTACAGAATATAAATTATCGGGTGACTTTCCAGGTGACAATTTTATTCTATAGTCGTAAGGCGACGTATTTAAAATATTGGAAGAATAAGGACTATTGTAGGGGCTCTTTAAAGGTGACGCATCATAAGCTAATTTTTTCTCGGCAATCAAACTCGGCGAGAATCCAACGGCCGGTGACCGTAGCTCATCTGATATGTAAGACAAAGCCGACGGCTCGATATTTTGATTAGCTAGATTCGAACCCAAAACTGGCAACACTTGTGCGTGGGACAATTTATCGAGTTTTTCCAATTCATGGTAAATATCAATATCACTTTTTGCTGATATCGGATGCATCGAAGAGTAATCATTTCGAGGCAAGTAGGAAATTGGATTGCCTGTATACATAATCGAATCTAATTCCTCACCAGTAACCAAATCATTTTTTATTTTGAGTGGATCGTCAGGTGCAGTGTATGAATAAATATTCGTGGGGCTCGGAATTTTGTCGTTTATGTTTAAACACTGGGGACTAATTGGTAAATCCGAGGGTGAATTATTTCTATAATTGATAATGAGTTTTGATAATTCGTCATTTATTTGACGATCAATGAAAGCGTCTCTTTGCATTAAATAATCATTCGATATGTCATCAACGTCAGGAAGATATGCTACTTCTTCATTATCACCGATAATTGATAGTTTCGACAATTCTTCGTTAATTTTTGCTTCAAATTCTGATGCTGTTGTAGTAGCAGTGGTTCGATCAAGATCCTTAAAATTTATTTTAGCCAATTCTTCGTTTATTTCATGCTCGTTGAGACCAATTTTTTCTAGAATAGGGCTGAATATTTTGGAAATTTCCTCGTTTATAGGACTTATGGTTATTTCCTTGGTAATTTCTTCGAGGTCGGGTAATCTCCTCTTAGCTTGGCACGTCAAAATTTTTTGCAGGATGGCTGAATTTTCTTGAATTATTTTTAAAGCTCTATCACTGCTACTCCTTCTTCCATTGTTGTCTCGTTTCCGAGGTTTAACTTTGGTCCAAACTCCGAGTTTCGATTCTTTATCATCGTCATCGCTTTCATTTCTATCAGAACCATTTTTATACGTAACGGATTTTAAAATGCTATCGCTACTTTCATCAATATTTATTTTCGGCTCCACTATATAGGTTTTTCTTCCGACTGTAGAAATACAAATGCCAGGAACATCAATTTTTTCTTTCGAAAATGTGCTCGCAGAATCGCTGAATGTATCTTGTCTCCGAGCCTCCAAACACTTGAGATCTTCCCAAATTACACTTGTTTTTCGCGTCAGCATGTTGGGATCGATTTCTCCGTCTTCGCTGATTTTCGTTTCCAAATGTCGGACGTCTTCGAGTACGTCACTCGAACGTTTCTTTGAACTGCTGGCAAAATCCTCCATCGAAGGTGACAAGAGCATTTCCGGAAATCGTTTTTCCAAACTACTATTGCTTCGATCGTAACTCACCCCTGTGATTTCTAGAGTCTCAAGTTTACCGTCAAGTGACTTGCCTCGAGAACGTTCAAAAAGATCATTTCTGTGTTCACTTTGAGTCCGAAAAACTGGCGAAAGCATATCAATGTCTTGTATCTCTTCTTCCAATCTGTACTTTCGATAAACTTCGAATGCTAAAGTGATGAAATTCATAATTTTAAAATTAAATTCATTAAATAACTACAATTATTATACAAACATATAATTTACCTGAAGTACGGCCTTTTTCAGATTCCAAACATCTATCGTCAATCGAATTTTCCGACTCAACGTCCGTGTATAATTTTCGCAAATTTCCGTTTAAGGAACTTTCATCTGAAACTTTGATATCAATAGGATTTTCCATGATGTTCAATTGAGATAAATCGAAAGCTTTAACAGCAGCTTCATTTTCCGTCGAAGGTTTGGAAATTTTGTCAACATCCAAGCCACAAAATTGATCGAATTCCACAATTTCTCGATTGGATTTACTTTTGTCATCTTCGTATGGTGATGGTGTATTTTGATTCGGATTGCGAATTGGATAAAATGGAGACGTCACAGAACCAATATCTGTTTGTAAAATTTTAAGATTATATGGGTAATAAACAACAAAAATTGGATCATTCATGTACATTAGGGCGGAGCAAAAACACACTTTTGTCGCCGATCGCTTTCTAATAGCAATAGAACGTTAGTATAACTCAAAAAAAGAGAAAAGCCACGAGGTAGGCGCATACAAATGATATCTTCAGTTAGCGCATGAAACTCGAAGTTTGAATTTCGTAAAAACAATATAATCATGCTTCAGAAATGAATCACAGCAAAATCTCTCGGCTTCGAATAGACCGATCGGGCTGAAAGTTTCAGGGCTTGTTTTACATATGAACACGAGTTTCTCTGTAAAATTTTAGCCCTCTAGGTGCCTTAGAAACAAAGATACAGTCATAGGAAGGTTGAAAAACGACGTTAGATTAATTTTTTTTATGCTATTTCTATCTTTGTACACCTGTAGGTTGTGTAATTTTGCTGCTATTGAAACGAAAGAGTAACCAATTTTTTCGTCTTTTAAAGACGTTTCCAACCGTATAAGTTTGTATAGGGGTTTTTAAATTTTTACAGAAGTTACAATATAAAAGGTCTAAACTTTTGTGTCACCATCGAAACTACATTTGTTATTTTTTTTTCTGTTTCTTAAAAGTTACACATTCTAGACAAACTTGAACCCCAATGATAGTTATATGCTCTTAAAGAGCATAAAATTACCTTTAATTTGGTGTATGTAAAAAGTTTCTAAGTCCTCTAGAACCGAAGATACAGCTGTTTGAAGTTTTATTGAAAATTCAAGATTAAATTCTGTGATGATCTTACCATATCCGGTCTATGATAAATTCACAGATTTAGTACTTCAATATTCAGTAAAACTTCAAACAGCTGTATCTTCGGTTCTAGAGGACTTAGAAACTTTTTACATACACCAAATTAAAGGTAATTTTATGCTCTTTAAGAGCATATAACTATCATTGGGGTTCAAGTTTGTCTAGAATGTGTAACTTTTAAGAAACAGAAAAAAAAATAACAAATGTAGTTTCGATGGTGACACAAAAGTTTAGACCTTTTATATTGTAACTTCTGTAAAAATTTAAAAACCCCTATACAAACTTATACGGTTGGAAACGTCTTTAAAAGACGAAAAAATTGGTTACTCTTTCGTTTCAATAGCAGCAAAATTACGCAACCTACAGGTGTACAAAGATAGAAATAGCACAAAAAAAAATTAATGTAACGTTGTTTTTCAACCTTCCTATGACTATATCTCTGTTTCTGAGGCACCTAGAGGGCTGAAATTTTACAGAGAAACTCGTGTTCACATGTAAAACAAGCCCCGCAACTTTCAGCCCGATCGGTCTATTCGAAGCCGAGAGATTTTGCTGTGATTCATTTCTGAAGCATGATTATATTGTTTTTACGAAATTCAAACTTCGAGCTTCATGCGCTAACTGAAGATATCATTTGTATGCGCCTACCTCGTGGCTTTTCTCTTTTTTTGAGTTATACTAACGTTCTATTGCTATAAGAAAGCGATCGGCGACAAAAGTGTGTTTTTGCTCCGCCCTAATGTACATTTAAAATTTGAGAGACAACACTCACCAGAAGATGGTTCCAGCAGTTCAACGCCATCACTTTTGTAACTGTAGCTTGTTGCGAACTTGATGGAATTGGCGCTGACCGGCGATTGCAGCTCAGAACTGAAATCTCTCTCAGACAATTTCAGTTTATTCGGGCTACAAAATGATTCCGTCGAACTACACGGTGGTTCGGTAGATTTTGGTAGCATCACGGAATCAGTCGACAGGGTTACTGGCGATTTATCAACCGGAGTATCGGGGGGTAGTTTAATGGCTACATCTGACTCGGGAGACTTGACCGTAACTGTTTTTGTAGATTCCGAGCTGATCGAAGAAGCTGTGGATTTTTCAATCTCGACGAAATCTCGTGACTCTGGATGCGCAGGAGTGTGTGGAGTAGCCGCGAGACTTGATGTTACCGAATCTGGACCCATCGTTTCTCCAGAACTGTAGGATTTCGGACTCTCGGGTGTTTTTGGACTTTGTCGAATATTTTGCTGAAAACAATGTTAATGTTTAGTCCTTTTTTATTAATACGTATATATAGTATTATCATACTCACAGAAACTTTTGAATGATTTATTGGACTCCGATTACTCAGTGAATCAAACTCTTCGGTATTAGTTAATTTTTTTTCTTCCTGCGTATCACTTTTTACTTCAGCCTGTTCTTTAGAGTATACAATTTCTGATTTTATTTCAGGTGATACCTCTTTCGAGCTTTCAGAATCTTTTGACTCACTATTTGACAAGAGTGCAACCGGTGACTGTCTATGAACATAATTCACTGGCAAACTTTCCACGCGAACCTCTTCCTTGGGCTCAAAGTTTTGCCTCGTTAATAGTTCATTGGAAGTAGCCTCATCGCGGGCACTTAAATCTTTATTAATGGCACTTTTATTAAGAACATCCAGTGTTCCTCCACTAGTAACATATGAGAAAATGGGTGACTTCTCGTTATTTTTAACTAAAACCAAATCTTCTTCATCGAAGCTTGTTTTGACATCGGCATCGTCTGCTGATAGACGTCTAATTTGATCGGTGATCTGAGCGATCGACGTTTCTTCAACTGAGACATCGAAATGATCGCTGAAAATTGATGGTATACTTTCTTAATGGGTAATTAAAAATCCAGATGAAATTTAAATTATAACTATGGTAATTAATAAAAGCAGCATGCTTATTTTAATCATCTACCATGATGCAACATGTTATAACATCCTATGAGTGAAATCTTTTATCAAATATTGATGCTATTATTCTCGGTCAATTAAAAAGATATAATGTGAATTATAGTATTGTCTTCATATCTAGCAATGAATGGTTTAACTATTTTGATATTAATGAGCATTATTTGAATGCAGATAACTTAGTGTATCAATAATGTCAAATTGTTAATCGACTGTATGGAAGTCGTGAAAAATAGTCAATTAAATAGCTCTAATTTTCCGATTTGTGGTTATTATTAATGAAATTTGTTGATTAAATTTTCAACTCTAAAACATATTCCACAAGATACCTATTGGTTAGTAGCGCCTATTCGAAGCTGATGAAATTAACTCCAAACTTTAGCAATATAAACACTAGCTATTTTAACATTGTTAATTTCAAATAGCCTTCGATATTTCACTTACACTCAATACTACGTATCTGTCAGGTCGATCTTCGATAATTCTATTTGAGAACTGAAAGATTCATCAACTATATGACTAAAAATCATTTAAAAAGAGTTAACATTGATGCAACCGAATTTTTTTACAAACAGGTAAAATTACGAACAATTATTTTAGTTATAGTTTTGATATAAAAAGTATGCCTTGTAACATCGCTTTACAAATTCTCTTGAAATTTTTTTTTCTTGCCATCATTTTGGTCTTTGCTTTTTATTATTAATGAAACCCCCAAATGTTTTGACTGTTTCAAAATACTTGTAATTTTAAGCGTTAAAAATACTTGAATCACCTAATAATTTTTTAATTTTTATCGTATTTTTCTAGTCACGTAATCATTAAATTGACTCCAAAGGTAAATGACGCAAAAAAGTCTTAAATGTTCAGTTCTAATATGAACATTTTTAAATATATTTTACAAAATTTCTACTAAATATTTTTCTAATAAGCAACTCGAAAGTCTTTACTTTGTTCTTCCTGATTAAAAAAAATATATTCTGTAGAAATATCAGAAAATCAAAATCTTCTGTATGTTTAGACAATCGGTAAAAATGCCTCAAGTCAAATAAACCACGAAGCTTTGGAGAAGCGCGAAAGTTGAATCGTAAAAACGAAGAAGCCATAAAATACTGGGCTTTTAACCTCACCTGCTTGTGCTAGTAGCTCTGACTCGTAGCTCAGCAGGCGACGACCTCTCGACTTCGTGGGGTAATTGCACGCCACATTCCGAGGTCGAGGTCGGCTCTTCGCTGCTGTCGAATTCACTCAATCGGTCGGGCTCATCGCACAGCTCCGTCGAAGTACTGTCGCTATCGCTGTCGCTGCGTCTCGAGCTTGATGCTGCCTCGAACGATACCAATTCATTGTTGGTAATCACTGCTGATGCTGCTTCTGCTACTGCTACTGCTGTTGCTGCTGCTGTTACTGCTGAGGTGAGAGAGGCGGAGATATAAAACAGATCGATAAGGTAGATGGGGAGGGTGAATGTACTCTACTCCCCTGCATACTACACTTGCGCAGCAAATAGGTATATAACGTATGTGTGTGTGTGTGTGTGTGTGTGTGTGTATGTATGAGTGTGTCTGTCGTGGAAGACCAAAGAGGCGAGATGTAGGTTGCAGGTGGGCTCTTTCTAAGCTACTATACATGTATATATATTTCCAGACAAGTTCACTAACCTAGATACGAGAAAGAAAGAGAGAGAAAGAAATAGAGTGCGCGCCCGAAAGAACGAGAGAACTAGAAAGCTGTTGAATGCTACAGGATGATAACTAGAAGTCTGCGCGAGGACCAGTTCATTGTATTCGAATGAGTGCATCGGTAATGGAAACAACAAAAAATATCCCAAACTTTTCAATTTTTCGAAAAAACGTGCTGTATTATATTGCACTCAGTTTTAGGTAAAAACTTCCAAACGCCTGTTTTCGAGCTTGAATGTCAATTTCCCAAATTTTGCAAAATAACAAGTTATCAGTCGAATTTTTGTGAATTATTTGTGCATTCAAAAAGTAATGACATCAATAATAATAAAAGTAGAGGATTTTTTTATGTAATCGTTCTCATAATTTCTCGTGAGCTTTTACTCATATAAAATAACTCATCATCGAATAAATGAATCGATCACAAAATATCATCACTTCATGAACTTGGACTTGATTGGAAAATCGATAAGCATTAAGTATAAAAGAAAAAAAATATTTGCGAACATCGATCTGTTTACATGTGCTAAAAAATGACAATGTAACTACTTCAAAAAGTACTCACACTTAGAATCTTCGCGCTCGTCTTTCCTTTTCTTCGTATCCTTCCAATAAATCGTAACCGGTTGCTGCTGCTGTTGCTGCGGTTTCAGCTGCTGCTGCTGCTTACGAGCTTGAATACGCGGACTGCCCTGCATAGCCACGGCTTTAGCACGCGCTATCAAGCTGCCCGAATTTGGCCCCAGTTGTCGGTTCTTCGCACTCATCAGTGCGTTCTTTCCCACCAGCAGATGGTTCATGGCTTGACCAGTGGTCGTCGCCGCGGTTGTCACCATGGTTTGTCGAGCACAAGCAGCTGCGAGAGAATAATCGCAGCTCGTGAGATATTTTTCCGAATTTCAACAATGTACAATCATAAACGTATATTTCAGACATATTAAAAGCAACGTATGATATTGGCACCGCTTTTTTTTATATAAACTTTTTGATAACGTTTATACGTACATCGATCAATTGAACGAAACACCAATTAAAGAGCAGTATAATAATTAATATTATTAATCATCATTTTATTTATTTATTTTTTAAACGTCAATTGTCTTGATTAAGAGTTAAATTTCATGAAAAAACGTGTGGTTCAAGCAATGAAACCCTTACCTTCCGAGGCAAAGCCGCTCTAAGACGTGGGTTCGGTCCCACGTAAATCTGAATTTTCTGATGGCACTAAAATGGTACTTTTCGTGGCTGACTTGTTTTCCGGATCTTTTTATTCATTTCGTCACACAAATATATATACAATTGTCAGTGTATAAAATATATAGAAGAAAAAATGAAGAAAAAAAAATTGAAAAGAACATCATTAGCATCAATTAAATTTCATCTTCGGCCTGCTCATTTCACTTGATAACTTGAACATTTTTATTGTGAAAATGATTTTAAATAAAGTAATATAAAAAATAGGACAGCTGCGCGATAATGATAAAGTAGAGTATAGCTTACAGTGCGACGATAGAAGAGAGAAGAATCAAAAATTCAAACTAATATTGCAATCAAGTTAGTAAATAATTTGAACTAGTAATGCACAGTGCTAACTGTGATCAATTAGAGAAATGACGATAAATGTGCAGAGGAGAAAATCGACATACCTGACAGTATAATGTGGGCTTGTCGCTGGCGTTCGCGCAACTTGGCGTATTGTTGCTTCAGAGTACTGATATCTAAGGCCAAACGCTCTCGCTCGCTCGTCGGGGCCAAAGCTTGAGTAGTCGTGGATGTCGCTGTCGTGCAACGATCAACTTTTAGTTATGAAGTTTTCATATTTATATATCTCAAACTTATAGACGTAAAAGAATTTTACCAGATTTCTTCGTTCGTGAACCATCAGCTGATCCCAATCTTTCGTCGTCCGTTTCCGACTCATCATCGTCGCTTAATCGTCTGGCCCACGGTGTAATGTTGTAACGATGCTTTTCTCGTAAACTCGTGACACCGTTCAAGCGACCCATGCCAACGATGGTCTGACATAACCGACAAGAAAAATCAGTATTAGTTGTTTTGTTCGCCTAAATATAATTGTGAACTTATTTACCTTGACCAAATGATTTGTATCTGTGAATTCGAGCATTTCTCTTGCAAGTACGCCCATAATACTGTAAAATTCGTCAGCTGAATGTACTGTCATTATTCGCCTGTAAAAAAGTTGTTAATGGTAAATCATTTAAATTTTTAAATTAGCGAAAATTATTCTAGTCAAAAAGCTCACTCTGATAGTCCTTCCCAAATTGCAAGAGCAGTTCGTAAAAGAACATCGTCGCCTTCTAGAAAAATTAAATCCCAGACTCGAAGTACTGCATCTTGAGGTAAACAGTGGCAGAATAACGTTAGGAACCATTGCATGGTAAAAACATTAGTCAAAGGAGGTTCAAAGTGTTTTCCTGTAACAAATATGAATCATTTGCCATTTGAGAGTGAAAATTGAAAAGATCAGTCTCTAGCAGCAGTGAAAATTATCCGAATTTGTACCTGCTTTCGGATCTTTTGGATCACTTTGTAGAGACTCAAGATGCTTGGACAATCTAGGCAGCCTCATGCGTAACAGATCTCTAAACACCGCCATGTCTATAGACAGACCTCTCAGGCTGTCAGCAAAGTAGCCTTCGGGCAAGACACCTTCGATAAGATGTATCATGACTTTAACGGCCTCGGCTTCGTCTCGATCCACAACTTGCAGAATCAGGGCGGCCAGTACGTTCAGTCCTTGACAGTAGCCGACGGATTTGTTCCAGCGTGCAAAACCAAGCAAGACCCGGCGCAGCACGGCTTGGTTATCTCGACCCTCAGCTCCGCAGAATAGACTGCAGCCAGTGCGATGCAGATCCTGCAAAATTTTATATTCATCATCACAAGCATGAAAGGAATTTTTATTTACTAGAAAAAGTATGAGAATCTATAGAAAGTTTAAATATTGAAGAAGAGATAAAAATTATAAAAATCATATGGAATGAAAAGCATATGAAATCACATAAACATCATGAGATTTAATGACATTTGAAATTTCGAATTATTACTTTTGATAGAACTTGGTCAGTCAAGATATTAAAATTGTCATCAAATTTATGATGACAAGTGGAAAATGCTTATTTAAGTTGATATTCTCGCGTAACCATGTATTATTTTATAATCGACCAAAAGTCGATTTGAAACAATGTTTTTATAAATTCCTTTTTTCTAAGGAAAATTATATGAAATTATTACATCAGCGTAATCTTGATATTCAAATACTTTCATGTCATTTTTTAACAACTTGAATAATGCGCAGAAAACAAAATAACAGATGAAAACAATGTTTAAAGTATTAACATTTTTGAAAGCTTTTCAAGAAAATGATAAATTTATGATGGCATTTAAAATTCAAAAAATTTTCAAATAAAATCGACTACTATTCATACCTCAATAATTGATCTATACTTAAAAAATGTATCGCTATAAAATGTGTTTTAAAAAATTCACAAACTTTATAATGCTGATAAAATTTTACGTACTTTGACGATTTGAACTCCAAGCTCTTCATCGTCCGGATTACTCCATTCATTGAAGCAAATCTTCTCAGCCTGATTCCAGTTGACGCCTCGTTGCTCCAAATGCCTTTCCGCCAATATACACCAGAGCTATGTACATACGAGAATAACGTTAGAATTCATACTGTCACTATTTCTGTTTATAAGTTGTACGGAAGAATATAAAAACAAAGGAACAAACATTCTAAAGGACAACTTGCGACAAAAGAAGAAAAAATGTAGGCTACGTGTCGAGTAAAAGTGACTGTGAAACAATAGAGACTGATGTTTTTTCCCTTTTACTCTAATTTTATTTTGCTTTTAAATTTATGTCACAGCTTCCATGAAGTTTTAAATTGTAATTCGACAAAATTTCTTTTGGAATACGTATTTAATAAAATAACTAAGGGCTGCATAAATGTTAAAAATTTGAACATACCTTGCGACGAAATTCTGCTGGAATACCACCTTGAAGCTTTGCGACCATTTTCATGGCATCCAACCACTGTGTGAATCCATTTTCTCCCGGTTGTGGAGTAAGACTAAATTTCATTTTCATCTCTTCATCTGTAAAGAAAATTATCCACTTAGTTATTTCGTAAATAAATATTTTGAAAATTGTGATTAAAATGAATCCGAAAGATGAAGTAAGTAAAAAGATGAAGTTGTATGAAACAAATTAAAAAGCAAGTAAAATCTTTTCATTTTGCTAAGTGTGGTTCTTTTTCCGTCATATTAAAAGTTATAAACTTTTTTAAAATAAAATTGTTCAATAAAAAGTATTTTGCAACAATAAGATCGTTCTTTTAATCATTTCAATGGAAAGTTGTAATAACACTAATAACTAAGCGCATCTACATATAGAGGTTCTTATAAAATTCGAACTGCATGGAGACCTTGGGGGATCGATTACATCCCAAACCATTAGGGCTTGCAATGGTTCTTTAATACAATGTTCGTCAATTATAGTTTATGGTGTCTGGCAAAATGCCAAGACAATCTTTACTCGACCTATCAGAAGCAGAATCGAAAAAATTTCTATTCACTATTTAGCGGAATTAATTTATAAAAATCTCTTATTCTAGAAGTAGTTTTCTTAATTTTCATTTAAAAAGTAACGCGAAGCATTTATTAACTCGAAATTTTATAAAGTTTCTCAAATAAAAATTGTAATCTCCCAATACTAGATTTTTTGGCTTCTTTCATCATTTGAAATGATAAAAACTAAGACTTTTTGTAATTTGATTCAAACTGACGGTATGCATTGAAATATGATTTTTCATTTAAAATGGTAGCACATTTTTTTTCTAAAAATTATGTTATCTCTAGAAAACTTTTAATGTATATTAAATTAGTGTCCTCTTCGTCTATATATGGTTGAGTAAAAACCACACGTTTTCATTGCCTGAAAGCTTTTGCTCCTTTGAATAGAATGTGTACGGAATGTATAACTTATATTATGCAAACACATAAAAGATTTACCAAAAGTTGAAAATTTAAGCTGTAAAATGATATTTTCAATGTAAAGAGTTAATACATTTTTTCATAACAAAAGGTTAGTCCATCATCTTTTTTCATTTGAATAAAAAGACTTTACAACGGATATTTTTGCAGTTTCGATAGTATTATATTCATGTTTTGCATCGATTATGGCTGTCTAATTTTGGAGTAATTTCTAGCATTTCTACAATTTTCGTGACAGCGAAACCTAACCATAATCTCTGCAATGATTATTAATTGAATTTAAGTTTGATTTTTATTTCTTAGCACTTTATTTAATGTTACATTGTTTATGAATTTCAGTGAGTATCTAATTAATTGAAATTTTTGTCGCGACAACGGAAGAGAGCGTTGCCTATGCTCTGAAGTAATCAGGTGATGCCAAAATGATTACTCGTAAAATATTGTCATAATGTTCATTAAAATTTCATGCACCGAGCCACAGCCAAGTATATGAATGTCATATATCAGTATGAAATGGGTACGCATAAACGCGTTATTCTACATGAATAAATCTACGAGTAGCTTGTAAAGATGTGCTGCACTACAATGTGCTATAAGGAAATATTTGTCCTCCGAGTTTGACTACTTTTTCAGAGAAACACAATTTTCTCAAATTAGAAAGCAACTCGATACTGCGCTTTGAATTTTTTCATTCAGTGTAAAAGCTCGAAATTGATGTGTCGAATAATGCTTATTTACACAGGAAAATCTAAACTATGATTGGCTAAGAAAAGCTACCAGAATGCAGAATTTCTGCTTTCAGCAAATCTCGATCTAGCTAATTACAGTTCAAAAGTTGAGTGAGACTTGAACTGATGGAGGCAAGCTAAACAAACACATCGTATCTGTTTTTCAAGAATGCGTCGATAAAGCGAGAAAATCACCTTCTTCATCGTCATTATTGTTGTACTGCGGAGTGGCAATAGCAGTTGCAAAAGCACTTGCTGCAATAGCAGGAGCATTCGTTGCTCCAGTGGCCAAGTTTCTCAAGGAGTTAAATAAGCCACTCATTGTCCAGTCTATTTATTGTACTTTTTTCACAAATCACCTTACACTTATTGTCTTTTAAGAGTTTATACAATTAAGAGTATAATGCTCAATTACTGTCGACACTATCCATTTTAAATCGTCATTTTTACTGTACTGTCACTATTGTGTGTCTTGATCGTTTTTATCAATTATCGATGTTCACCAAAACTGCTTGTACTGCTTTGAAGCAGAAAAATAAAAATTTTCAATTCTGAAATTCCACTGTTTACGAGAAGATTATTTTACATTTTAAATAAAACTAAATGTACGCTCTTTATTCGCAAAAAATATTGAATTATGTACAAGTCTAGAAAAGTATTTAATCAAAAAGTCAGAGTAAGTACAGGTTTCGTAAAATTTTACGAGATAGCTGCAGCGAATATGATGCCGGTGGAGCAATGCAATTTATCGACCGCCCACATGTAGCCGTCGCGCATCTCTTCTGTCAGTTCAATTTACTTTAAGACCTTGTCTCATGTACGCACTTGGCCGTTGAAAGAGACAATGTTTCATGCGCTTACAATTAAAATAAGTTGCTTCGCTATAATCTAACTCAATAAACCAGCTTCACCTGAGTTCATGCTTTTTTACTCGTTCGTTATTGTGAAGATTAGCTAAATTATACTGTTATAGTGTCAAAATAATTTAGAAACTATGATTTCCGCACTTCTTATGATTTGTTACAATGTTGACATACGGATCAAAATTTTTTTCAAATAGTATGTACACAAGCTAATTTCAGTTTTATTTAACTTTACTGCTCACCAACAAAATAAGCAAGCAATTTTTAACGGAACGAGCAAACTTCGAGTTTTGTTTACATTACATCATTAACGCAAGCTTTCGTTTATAAAACTCAGCAACATATTACGTACTCTGCTGAAAGTTTTGTAATAACTCGTTTACATTTTGATGCGTCAGATTCCATTGATAATACATGAAGGGACGTTATAAGAAAAAATAAACTGAGAAAATTTCAAACTTGAAGACGTATCTTTAGAATTATTCATTTTTTTACAATTTCGCAGTAACAATTATTTAACTGTTTTTGAATTTATAGAATCCGATATTCTGTAGAGAATGCAAGAAATGAATCTGAAAATTTTAATTTTTACTTCCCCAAATCCATGGTTTACATATGAATTGAATCACGCATATGGATAAATATTCATGGTTTTGAATTTCAGCTACATCTTTCGAGCTTAAAAACGAAACTTAAGAGTTTCAATGCTGAAAGGTTTAGCTTCTTGAGGTTGGATCAAGAGAAGTATCGAAATAACCCCCATTATAGCGCGCTGTCCCCTTTTCATTGTATTCTTAAAACATCCTGACAATGTATAATAATCAACGGGCCTTTATATGGTTGTGTGCGTTTCACATATGCTATATCATACATTTCTAGTTTACTCATCGATTTTCGCTGCATCTTAATGGTTTAACGGATTAGTACCTCTGAAAAACGTCAACGAATAATCTAAAGAAAGTATCCACAGTATAATCGTCTAGAAGCTGTAATATGTTCAATTACCATTTCAATAATTACATTGATAGTCCATCAATAAAAACTTAGTGTATTTATAATGAATATGTTATGCTAAATAATATAATGTTGCAATATGAGTTTGATACTATCATTAAAAAATGATTAAAATATTCACATAAACGAGTTTTTGTAGTAATTTAAATTGAAACATTTTTCCTGGCGAATTTGTTAAATTCATTTATTTAAAATGTCTGGTTAAATTTTTGCTATAATAGCTTGGATACTTTCAGTACATGTTCAATATAATTGAATAAATACTTTAACATAAGAATTGCATGTATGAAAAATTATTTTCAAAATAAGTATAACTGTATTAATCTGTACTTTTTTATCTAGTGGAGAAAGAGAATATTTTCTTGAATTCTAGTCCAGCAATAAAATTATGTGGACTTGTTGCAGATGAAGTACCGCGAGTCAAAAATATAGTAATAAAGAAAAAAGACCAATAATGCTTTATTTTTGATTCCTAGCTTCGAAGAAACAGGAGACGTGGTTGTTTTGTATAGTACGCAAAAACTGCCACTAACATATTGTTTACACTCATATCGGAATTCTTCAATGTGCATATCGCTGAAAGGGTAGAAACTGAGTATCTACATACTCGTGCGAGGATTTTGTAATTTTTTTTTCAAGCGCCCAGAGTGACAAAGAACTCTCGTTTAATTTTGTTTATGAATTCATGGTAATTTTTGGTGCATTCTTTTTGAAAGTATAAAATGTACGAGCAGCAGAATCGCGCTCAAATTTTCCGATACCGATAAATTTGCGTATAATGAAAAGAAAACAACTGTATGGATTGAAGGGTAAATAAACATTACTTTACGTCACGTCTCGTGAACTTACATATCGCTCAATCCCATGGGATATTTCAAACGCGCTCCTTGCATTGTAATTCCAGAAATCAATAAAATAAATAGCTTGAAATCTAATTTGAATAAAAAAATTATTTATGATTTTAACGAAAAGCTGACGAATTATAACTGCAAAATTATTCCAGAAAACATAATACTCTTTTCAATAAAATTCGAAACTCTTACAGCATAAATACAATTAGATGGAGTGTTTGCCAAACGTTCATGCTCCCGAGTCTCCAATTCAGATGTCAGTGGTAAAATACAAATTTATCGCACACTCAGTCGTAAGCCTTAATCACAAGCTCGTGAAATATTGATCGGAGTGAACGAACAATGTTTGCAAAACTGTATACAAAAACCATAGATGCGCATCGTAATATCTATGGTACAAGGGAAAAAATGTTATCAGTTGTCCAGCTGAGTGCTCACTTACACAAAATCATCCAGTGATTTAACCACCATTTTGAAATGTGTTATCCGAGCGTCAGATAAGAGCTCATAATACCTGCATTCAAGGCATTAAAGGGCAAAACCCGTCAATTTGCTTGTCATTGAGTAAAGAAATTACGCGTTCAGTTCAACTTACGTAACTATCGAATCACTCCCTCGAAAAAAAAAAAAAAAAAAACAGATGCCCGTGCAATTGAGAAGTACGCTAGCGTTAACCCTCTCCTCTCCTGCGTATATAACGCACGGGGGAGTATAGCAGCTGTACACCCGACACGGCAGCACCCTAACCTCTCGTGGAATCGAAATCATCCCTATTCCATCTTTGAGCGACGAGGGTATACAATACATATGTCCGCTGACACAGGGACGCTCAAACGCACGCACACCTCGCCCAACAACACGCAATACTGAAATACATACGTATATAACGCGCACGCAAACGAGAGGGAGAGTAACGAAGAAAGCGAGAATATAAGGGAGAGACGGAGAGAAAAAAAAGCCAATAAATTCATTTGCATGCTTCCAGGGTCTCTTCGATCAATTATCTGCGTGTGCGTGTGTGTGTGTGCGTGTGCGTGTGTATATGTGAGCACCTTGGCCATTGAGCGAGAATCCATAAGCTTCAGCTGGCGCAGAATTGCCAGTGACACTGGCATCGTCAGCAGCAGTAGCGAGGACTGGCGAGGACAGCGAAGCTGACGACGATGGTGACGGCTGTTGTTGCTGTTGCTGTTGCTGCTGCTGCTGTTGCTGCTGCTGTTGCTGTTGTCGTCGCCAACGCCAGCGCCGCATCGCTTCCCTCATGCATGCGGCTCTCGCGGGCGCTTTTACAGTCCGACCCGACGATCGGCATTCACTTCTTGGCTAAATCGTCTTGGGGCGCCTTGGGAGCATCTCGATGGCCTCGGTCGCGTCTCGCTCTCGGCCGCTGACGATGATCCGGTCCTAGGGCAGCACTCGACTGCCTCATGTTTTTCACCCAAAGCCCAAAAAAGCTCACTTCACTCGCGGACGATTGTCCTTATAAATTTGGTGCGTGCGCGATCATGTGTCTATAAATATATACGGACGCACTGCGCGCGTGCTGCACTGCGCTCGACTCTCGTGCTGCAGCAGCACCACCAGCTCACTGCAAGTCGCGTGTATACTATACCGCGCAAAGCTCGCGCTCGAGACTACACTGCCACTGCTGGATACTGGAGCGATCGTGTACAGTGCTTTTTCCCATACACGATGAGTGTATAAGTGTGTGTGTATCGCTCGAGTTGGTTAGTACCGTAATACTGCGTGCGTACACAGTCTCGCGGGGAGCAGGGCGAAAGTCGAGCGCAAGCGCTCTTTCGCTTCGTCAGCTGTCGCGCACCCACACGCAGAAAAGACAGTCGAGCGACACGACCCAACGGTACGCGACGCGACTCCCTATAGATATATATTTCGGAGCGCAGCTTCGAGGGCTCTACGAATTCTAACACAAGAGTGTCGTACAGTCGAGTTCTGCGGATACTGCGGAGAGTCTACGGTTGCTCGAGCGCAGGCGCGTTCCCTATCGCGAGCAGCGAGTCCGATGAGCTTTTTGTATTGCGTTACCTGCAAGCTCTCCCTTTTCCAGCGCTTTTTAATGTTCAGACCGTTCTTTTTTCATCTACAAATACTTCTGCCGATTAATAGACCGATCGGTGGCTGCTTGCTTGAGCGCTGTCGCGATCGCAAGAGTTGTTTGCATCATTGGACATGGTCAAAAATGTTATTTCAATGAAAATCGCGTCTCTGGTCGAACTTACTCGGTTCGTTGTTGATCAGTCCTCGCAGATGGAATGTAACTATTTCGCAGAGCTTTTCGCGCTTGGCCAGCGTGTAATCGCGACGTCGCAGCTCGCGCACTAGCATACTGCCGATGTAGCGAATTTGTTCGCGCATCGTGTCGAGCACTACGCGCAATTCCAGCGTGCCTGAAAAATAAATGAAAAAAATAATGTACAACAATTTCTCACATTGAATTATTATTAACGAATTTTGATATCCTTATTAATAGTTCGTGCGTGTCGGAATCTTTAGTCAAAAGAAAGCCCGATAATAAAAATGTATAGCTGAGCCGACAATGTGTGCAATCTCGTTTTCACGAAGCGGCTCATTCAGCCTGCTCCGGTCTCTTGACGATCGCCTAACTAAGTGAAGAGCTTTGCTTGCGCATTTTATATGCTCGCATGCATGAATTTACAGACGCAGCAAGTATAAAGATAGTGCAGAGCTTCGTGACCTCGTTGACTTGAAAAGATATACATGGCTTAGAATCATGGTGCATACCAGTCGCGATCTCTGTGAATCATCGTGAATCTCATTGCAAATTCACATGCAAAAAAAACTTTCTCTCTCTCACTCTCTATATATATAAAGCCGATGAAACGCTAATGTCCGTTAAAACTTCTTTTGTCGCGATGAGTACGTGTGTGGAGTGAAACGAAAAATCAAACGCGCGTTAATTTTTACAGACCCTTACAAGACATGTTAAGTGCTTGGAGTCTATTCAGTAATCTCCTCGCTTCTGTAGCAAAATATCACTTCTGTTCCATAAAAATCCTTTTTTAACATTTTAATTAATCTTTTTTATTTATTTACCTCCTTTCTTATCTATTTCATTTATTTTACCATTAAAATCTTATAAATGACTTCAGACCAAAATATCAAAGAACAATACACTTTCGTTTGTTAGTCAAAGTTAACCATACAGTGTTTTTTTACTTTTTTAAAGACTTTTCGGAAAATAAGCAAGACAAATTATGAAAATCAGATAAAATAACTATAATACCGATAAAATCGAAAACCGTTTATTTAATAGTCCCATAAATAACCATGGAAATACCCAAAACAACCGTGGTCTATTTTACGTGTTTGCAGCCAGAATCGAATAATTCTTAAGACAGCTCCCACGCATTTTAAATTTAAATATGCTCTATTGAATTTGTGAACCGATCAAAAGCTTCGGAGCGGATCTAGTATACATGTACTCAACTATCGTCGAATCGTCAAATCCTTTAAAGGACACACGTTGTTATTGAATGATCAAACATCATTGACAACCTCAGAAGTCTCTGCAAGGATCTCCGCTTACAATTCCAGTTACGCATCACCACCTTCATGAACTACGCTGCAGGGTCGCGGTGTTCATTTTAATTTGCATCACCCAGTGTACAGTACTGCCTAGGGGGTGATGTGGCAATGAACTTCTAGGCATTCGTACATATAGATATAATTCAATGTTTGCAATTGTTTATCCATTTTTGTGTTTTTTTGTGTTGTTTAGAGAGAAAGAGATATCATTCTCGAGTATCGGTTATATTTGCTACTACCGATACAAGAGGAGCTCAATAAAATCCTAATTGTCTAATTTTCGTATATCCGTATGTTTTATTGATCGCGAAAAAAGAAAATTTACAAATCTATACAGCACTTACTTTTAAGTTCGAGTCGCGAGCGTTGTAAATGTGGGCCTCTTCTGTAGATCGCGTAAGATTCGCTTTCAGATCGACTGAAGTGATCCGTGCCGCTGAGAGATGAGCCGTAAATATCCATCAATAAGCTGTTGACTAATGATGATACCTCTTGCTTTTTGGTGAGCCATTTCGGCAATGGTGGTGGATAGATCTGTTTATCATTAGGTCATTTATAATGTATTTATATATTGTTATTTTAAAACTGAAGGAAATATCTATCTCTCACGGTTGCTCAAAATATTGTTCATTTTTCATGTATACCTTGGATCTTTTATCCAATAAATTGTTCGTTTGTACAATTGGTGAATCGAGCGATTTTGATCTCGCCGATTTCCCTCGATCGGTAATTTCCTTGTTCTCGGATACTTTCCGGTCCAGGAGTAAAACGGCATCGCTCTTCCTTCTCTCGGGAATTCGACGATTCAATTCGAGGAAATTTGGTGCCTGAACGAACGTCGCTCGCAAATTTTGTCGCTTGCTGATGCGATAAGGCGTAAGAATCGGATCGCCCGTAATGGCACGCTCACTTTCGACGGCGACACACTTTATGTGGAAGGGCAGTGTTTCCGAATAGGGCAGAATCACACGTGGAAGTTGCTTCGATTTTTTCGATCGCGGAGGTATCATGATCGATGCAAAGTGACTTTGATAAATTTCTGAAATTGCATTACTTATTGCAGCGTGAAATATGTTAAAATGTCATTTTCAACTAAAACATTAGATTTTTGAAAAAAATAGTGAGGTGCATATATTCCAAATAAAATGTTCTGAATTTACATGAATTTGTTTTACAAAAATAAACGATTAAACTTTGATTAAACGCCAATTGTGAATAAAATTTTTTTATATACTGCCATTTAATTTTTTCATTTCCTGTACTCCGCTCATTTATCTTTCAATTAAAAAAAGTATGGGATATCATAAATAACATCTCCAATTTTGATATGAATGTTGAAAAAAGTAATTTTTGAATCTATTTCCTGAAGAAATTCCTCAATAAAACAAACTGAGAAATATTTGAAAGCTCAAATAAACTGGTGTCGCTTTTTTATTTTCTTATCACTTGTGTAGAATTAGCTAACAACTGACCAAGTACTGCTCTAGAATTAATTATCCTCTAAAATATGCGCACAGTTGTATTTACTTTTTTATCACATATGTGATAAATGTGGCCATGTACCGGTGTATTTAATCGTCCCACACATTACAGTTTAAAATGTTTTCTATTCGTTTTATTTACAGAAACTCGATCAAGGATTTATTTATTCTTATGGGATCAATTGTATTTTAAATTCAATTAGATTTTGAACTTTTAAATATACAGTAGACTCCGTTTAATGTAATCTAAAAACAAAAATCTAATTTCCTCTAACTTTAACATGTTAATTCAAAATTCCAATTTATTTGGATTATTACAATCAAAGTTTATTTAAAAATCATCGTGCACGTATTTATTATATTCTTACAAGTTTTTTATATAATAAGGATCGAATTCTTTCGATGGAGCGTTAAATACGGACCTACTTACTTGAATTTATATTTTAATTATCCTTATCCGATATTGACTGCATCAGCTCGCTTCAAGCATCAAACTTTAAAAATCTAAATCCAGTCAATGGCGATCTCAATTCACTGAAAAAACACGCTCGCTCGCCCTACGATGCTCAAAGCTAAACAACAACTGAACGAATGAGCTTATCATTCGAGCCGGTGTACGTGAACGTCCTCGTAACTGGAAGTGGGCTGTCAACGATAGCGACGCGTTATTACCTCAGAATATTAAGCATTATTGTTCAAAAATAAATTCACTTATGCTCTTTTTAACTGAAAAAAATGCGTGCGAACTCGCTGAGACAATCTATGAGCACCAGATACACGCAGCAAGACGAGCATTTATCGTTCGGACGACGCGTAATAGTTTACAAAATTACTCTTCGTGTTTGCAAATAGTACTTTTTGTGGGGAAATTGGCTATGATGATAAAAAAATTGTTTAACAAAACCAATAATATTTACCATGATTATAAATAAATTACAGAAATTATTAAGATTCAAAATAGTTATTTTTATCCACAGTTCGTTTATTAATGTGGTTTGCATACACATATACTTAGCTAGTTTAAGAGAAAATCACACATCACAGAGCACAATAAATAAATACAACGAAAAATTGACTTTTCATTGTTAAACAGCTCCAAGCTAAAAATTATTTTGGCGAATTACATTTTTCGATTTTAACTAGTATTTCAGTTATAAAAATAATCGTCAAAAATTGAACACAGAACAGAATGCACGAACCTCGTCTCAATTTGATACGATTGACGTATTTTTTGTCAATACACAATTTTGAAGGGGTTTATAGTCAGTTTTAAATACATATTTCGAACAATTTTCGTCAAATTTTATTCGGCGAAAAAATTGCACAATAAGTCGCTTCAATGATTTCATGTTTTTCGCAAAACAACCAATTGAAAGCGTACTCGAAATTAATTTAATCCCAATCGACATTAATACCGTAAATTGGGATTTATTATCTAGCGCTATATTTTATTCATAAATATTTATATTTTTTGTTTTAAAATAATAACAATAACAATATTTTTTAAACTTTGTACAATATATAAATAAGACTTTTCCGCTGTCTTGGCTTATTGGCTTATTTTTTCAGCCTTTGACAACGATTAAAAGACGCCGTTGAGTAGTTGTGTACAATGAACTTGTGATATCTCGATATCTGCTCGCCGAAAACGATCTTACGCACATCTTCGTTATGTCGAACGAGACTGCTAAAGAGGACGGAGTCAAGTAAGTTCTGTGTACTCGGTGAACCCATGATTCGGTGGCCCAAGTAGTAGCACTCCAACGGTTCTGTCTTTTGAGGCAGTTACAATATCTATTTTCGAATTGTTATTAAAGAAATATTGTGCAGACAAGATAACATAAATATTTAATAAATTGCATATAAAACAATAAAAAGGATACATTCGTCGTATGGTGAAATGTCCAAGTCTTGAATGTCACCTTTGTGGTGATAAACTTCACCCAAATATTCGTGTCTGTCGGGATATCTTCGGTATCTTCTCAAGACACCTCCATCACAGACGGTGTACAGAGTACTGCCATTCGACGTGTATCGCAATTTCCATACCGGAGAGTCTTTGTGCTCTTTTAATACTTCCTGAATTCCAGTCTCAGGAACGTAGGCCGATACGACATCTCCACCGCTCATAATCAAACCTTATAAGCAAAGAAATTGTTTCATCCAGTTCATGCAGTTAAAAAGTAATAACAAATGTAAAAACAATTATTACTGTAAAAACCATCTTCAGCTGTGCGACAATATGGCTCGGGTGTTATGCATACTGAATTGACCGAGTGACCAGTTTCGAAGGCGTAAAGAGCTCGTCCATCTGGTGAAGATATCTTCAAGGTACCATCGGATCCACCAGTGAGGATGGAGTTTTGCCAGGGCCACGACGCAGGAAGAAAGCATATGTCTCGGATTACCGATCCGTGTAACTACGAGACAAAGAGAAACAGTCACTTCCAAATTAATGAATTTCAACGCGACCATACTAACATCGTAAACGAAATCCAAAGGCAGTGGCATTCGCAGATCGACAAGTGTCAAACCCTTGCCGTTGGCAGCTACGGAAACGGCGAGATTCGGACCGGACGGATCGGTGGCCAGACCCGTCCTGTCTCTTCCGCCGTAAGCGCAATTGTCGTAGGACAACAATTGCTCGCCTCGCTCCACGTCAACGACGACGAGCTTTCGTGTGTTAGTTGCAGCTAGCACCTTAACAGTTAATGGGACAAAACGTCGTCATTAGCTTGGGACTGGGACTGATTGGATGTTACTACAGTTTGCAAACGAGCCAATTACCCTTGAACCATCCGATGTGAAGCGCACGGCATTGACGTTCTTCACGTGCGTTATTGGCGTGATCTGGTAACACATCAACAATTCCATTCGCAGCGCCGAGTACAGATTTACCTTGCCGTCGCAGCCACCGGAGCAGAATAAATATCTGTCCTGTAACGGAAAATTGCGCAAACTTATTGATTGAATACCCCAAAAATCATCTTTGGTAAACCGCTCATCGACTTGGACTTTTTTTAACCGATCGCAGAAAAATAAAAATTACAAGCTTACACGAAATAGAGATGAAAAGTAAAAAATGAACGATCGTAAGAGGAATGTGTGCGAATAAGAGTGACGCGCATATAGATGACATAAGTCGCGCATCATGCTGGATGTACGCGCTATCGGCGAGAATAGTTTATACACGTGCTTTCATTGTACGCATAATCGTGCACTTTTTTTCAATTCATTATATACAATATACAAAGAAAAAAACTCACTCGTGGACTGAACGCTACACCTCTCACACTACCCTGATGAAACTTGAGGAATCTGGGCTTGCCCTCTTGCTGCATGATGATGGCGACGACGACGGCTCGTTACTATCGATGATACGCTGATGTTACTTTTTCTAAATTCACGCGCTTGTTTATTATCTGCAGCACGAGTCGGGCCGTATACGTACTACGTAACGATCGCTCTTTTCTCGTCTCTTCTCGCGTGTGAAAGTACTCGTCGCTCGGTCGTGTTCTATAAGTCAAATAAAATGATTTGAGCTTTTTTCGGACAGAGAAATTATTCAACAATTACGTACAAATGATACTATTTATGTGCTTATTCTCGTTCGGGTGATTACGTTAAAACTCATTGATCTTGTTATAAATTGAAACACAATCGGTAGATTTCAAATTTCAAATTATTAGTATGTCATTAAATCTACAGCTTTGTTTTTTCCAGGAAATTAATGTTTCATCCCTTTATTTTACTCTTATTTATCAACAGCTTCAGCCAAAAGTAATAGAATTTTCATTGACGTAGGATGTCCTGAAATGTTATTAAAACTTGAGGCAATAACATTTAAGAAAACAAACATTTACATCTCATAATTTACAACATTTGCAACATCATATCGTTGGCATAAATATATTGATTGGAAGTAATAAAAAAAGCGTATTTATTACGATAAAAAGAGTCAAAGAGTTGACATTTCTCAAGGTACGCATAGTATTATATACCTATAGATCAAGCCCAAACATAACCACTTTGATAAGGATAAATTGATGCAAAAAAACTATACAGGAATAAACAGTTTTTAATGGTTGACTTTATAGCGCACTCGTCGAAACGATACTGTTTGTTTCTATTTGCACTTGTCCCAAGATAACATTCGACTTGACGCATGAATGATATACAAAAATTACCTGTTGTAAACATGACAGCACTGTATGTACACACAGAGCATCGACAGGCGACAGCCACGGCTCCGTAACGTCAACCTTCTACAGTCGAGAAAAACGAAACACGATCGTAACGAGTCACGAGAGGCAAAACATTCATCACAATGTGCATGCTTTGAGAATACATCGTCGACTTTTTTTCATTTTACGAGAAAGTAATCGTATCGCTATCGTGGACGCTCCAACCAACCTCTTTATGATTTATGCGTGCGTAGGCTGCTAAGTCACCATCGCTGCAGCGTAATCATCATCCATGCCTGTGACCCGATACGATTCTCTTTGGCCGTTCTTCCTCAGTGTGCAACGATTGGAAGCAACACACTGGCGTTTTCATGTAACCGCACGTCAACTTCTATCTAACATGTGCTTTGCTGTACGTGCAGCACATCTGCTCATATAATGTATGCATTTACTGGACACCTACACCTCAGATGTGCACAATCTGCAGAATGCACATCTAGTCACATTCCGTAACCTCCTGCAAATTTGCTCTCCTGGAACCTGGCATGTGACTAGCTCCTGAGCTCTTTCTCTCTCTTACACACACACACACACACATACACACGCTCGTCTATGTGTTCACGTATTATACTTTGAATATATGTGTACGAGGGCAGTTGTTGGTAAACTGATTTTTTTTCTCCACGCAACCAAACACGCTAATATTTTTCGCTGCCCTCGTCGTGTTTACATAGCGCTTTTTCCGAGTCGCACGCTTCTCGCAGCCAGGCAGCAGCACTTTGTGCACGCCCTCCTTTTTTTTCAACTCGCGAGCTTCTACTGCTAAATGATGCAGATTGCAGAGTGTGCAGGAGGCTGGCAGTATCACATGCATGGCAGTGCTACTAGCTGACTGCTGAGTGCAGTGTGTAATGAATGACAGACGCGAGACGCACGGAGCCACCAATCGGGGGTCTATTTTACCAGCTGATGCAATACGAATGCAGTTCAAATTATTTATATTATCATAATTTTTATCCATCTAACCATTCTATTATTGTAATTTTTGTATAAGTATTATGAGATGTTTTTTCTTAGTTTTATTCTACTTCGAATCAAACAATACATTATTCCCGAATTATGAGATGATAATTAGATCTCGAATATTTGCAAGATTTTTTTAACACCCTTGAATGTCTTTTGTAAAAGTCTAAGTAGCAGTCGAAAGATTGCTGATTTTAGTCCAAAATTTTGAAAATTCATTAACTAATATTGTTCGCGTAGTTTTGTTAAATTATGATGCAACTGCTGGTAAGTTGCTTGAAGGAACAGCATTATTCAGAATAAGGAACTACATCGATGATATAAATTGTCCTCATAGCTTGAAAATAAATTTGCTGGAAAATGTTTTATGAGGTAAGAAGAACATCCTAGTATCTGAAAACTTGAAAAGTCATATTCTCATATTCTGCCACTTTCTTGTAGAATTCAATTGATAATTTTAATAAAATCAACTCAAATACAATCATTATATTTTTTCTAATTTACTATATATTTATTCAGAATTAATCGGAAAATTGAAAAAGTTGTCAACAGCGTAATGAAAGTGACCGAGTATTATAAGATAGTGAGATGCTACTAGACTTAAAACATTTCATGCAGAAATTGTAGCTGTTATTTATTAATTTGGTTTATTTATTTATTGACATCAAAAATAAACTTAATGAAATACATTTAAAAAAAAGTTTTTTTAGAATATTTTTGAAATTACTCTTCTTTTAAATTATCGTTTAAAAAGCAAAAAAAAGTTGACCCTGGCTACATAATGTAAACCTGCGAGGCCCAACCACCCCTTGAATGCGACTACCAAGAGTTATTTAAATAAATAGTAATTAAAATAAAATTGTAATGCAATACAACTTTTTTCACTTCTTCACAAACGATATTTTCAGAGAAATTTTATTATTTCACTCGTTAATAATCACATTTTTTATTTGCATACGATTCATTACTCTACCCAAGTCGAATGCCAGGTTACTCCGTAAAATAAGTCATCTAGAATTCAAACACTTGATATACACTGAAATAACTTTCATGTAAATGTTTAAGAACGAAAAAAGATTCCTAATAAATATTTCAAAATACGTATGTTTAATTATAATGCTATCAGTCCTCGAAAATAAAAATATAAATAAACCGAGTTCTAAGTTAATATCATTGAAAGTTCAATAGGGTATTCGGTAAATAAACGATTCCCATTTAATAATTTTTTGAGAAATTTCAACAGCATTTTTTTGTCGGGTATATGAATAAATCTCGTGAAATTTTAATATTTGTGTCAACTCCACAATATTCATATGAAAACTTAAAAATTACCATTCCTGGAATTGTTTATGTTAAATTTTCAACTTTTTATTTTCTTGAGAACGACTTCTAGTGGTATTCATACTCAAATTCATACAAAAATCATGCATTTTATGGCATTTCTTATACGTTTTGAAATTCAACTCATCCTATTTTTAATTTTCAAATTCTGATTTCCGATTGGCCCACCGAGCTTTTTTATCCAAATCATCACCAAACTATCCTCACTGAATGTTGTGCGTCGTTACCCGAGCCTTCTACACTCTTAGGAATAATTCAACTCGATTTTTAGTTATTTAATGATTTTTTATAAAATCCCAATATCCCAATAAGCCTACCATGAATCATCACCAAATTATGGGGAAAAATAGTTTTTGAGTAGCAGAATCGAGTGGTATGTCTATTTTTGATGTGCGTGCTTTGTAAAAAAAGTTATATACGATATAAACATGAAATTTTCCCGCGTCCATTGTCGTTTTTGGGTGCATTTTAATCGAATCTTGCATTACACATCAATAGTTTTACTTTAAATGGCAAAATTTATATTGCCCATTTTAGTTTTCGACATTTTGAAAAAAATAACGCAATGTGCGTTTATTTAAATAGCGAAAAATACATATTTCAACCAAATTTAGGAGCACATTTTGTCTAATAAATATGTTTAATCAGCTTCAGCTTTCACATGTACTTTTTTAAATCTCTGTAGGCCCTCATCCGAATTTGATGGGCACTATTTTTTTCAGGTTTCTGAATCACTTACAAGTCCAAAAAAAAAAAAAAATTTATAAGTGTACTCTAATAAAAAAAATATTTTGTTAGCAGCAAAATATTAAAATTTCACGAGATTTACTCATATATACTTATTGGAAAGGTGAATCGTTTTTGCTGTCAGAAGGTATTTAAAAAGAAAATTGTTTCAACTTCATGCGTAATTTCTATCAGTGAGATGAGTGAGAATCGAGTACTAGCATTCTATAATAATGTGCAGTAATCTAAAATGGTAATAAAATTCAGTTAATGATATTTAATAGCGTTTTATTTGAAAACCAGGTATTGACGATTCAGTAAAATGAAATAATTATAAACCGATGTATAATTTCTCTAATGAAACAAAAATATTTTTGAATTCTATCAAAGTAAATTTAATTGACCTTTATGAATTCGTTTAGTATCAGCGAACCCTAGCATATGACGCATCGGCATCGGTACAGAGATAGACTTTGAAAAGAAAAAATTAAATACTAAATTTGTAAATTAGATAAAAATTTCATCGATGAGATAATAATTAGATACTCATTTTAAAAATTAAGGCAGGTTTTGTATTTTAAAAAGATAACATGTATTAAAAATATTCAGCTGTAACAGCTGAGATTTACAATTATAGTGCAATTACGATAGAATCAATCCTGTACAATTTAATACGAATTTGTAAAAATTTTTTGATAAAATTTAGAAGAGACATTGATATCTCATTCAACACTGTTTCAACATTGGGTCACATCACAGAAACTATTTATTATGGAGTTTGTTAAGTACTCCAAATATTTACACATTTTTAAATGTCAGTATATTAACTGGCATAAAACATATTTCTCTGAATTCACAGATATTAGTTGTCTCCTCCACCATAATTTTTAAGATTTCGAATTTCTAATTCTTTAGAAGCTTCTCCTTTTATTAATTTTTCAAACTCATTAATTTCTGAAAAATCATCCCTTGAACTACAGTTACTACTACAAGTAGATTCTGCTTGATAGCTTGTACTACTTTTGTAGCTTGAATTGCTACTATCACTGAGACTACTATCACCTTCATTATATTTTAGTGGTATCTTACAGACAATTTTTTTTTCTTTTTTCTCCTGTAATCTCTTTTTTTTTATCGGTTTTGACTTTTCTTTCATCTTGTTCAAAGCCACAGTAGAAATTGATGGAGGAGCTTCCAGCGAAGCAGAAATGGAACTACTTGGTAACAATGCTTGTTCTGATTTAACTTCATGCACAACCTGTCAGATATAAATTTTGTTTTATAAAATATAATGTAAAGTACTGTAAATCAATTTTTATAAATTTTCTTAATTTCAAATACTTGATAATAATTAATTTTAACTAAATAACTCAGTACTTACATTTCTAATAGTTTCAATCCATTGTCGATCATGATAAAGCAATTGTGGATCAGATGGAGAATTGACAATATTTTGTTTTGAATGAATGTAAGTGTGAAAAAAAGGCCCTATTTTAAATCCACAAGAGCCACCGGAAAGTATGAAAAATAGCATAAACATCAATATCGGTACGATAAGAATCAAAACCAACTGAGCAAAAATAGCTACGGGATAAGGCAATGAAGCTGCAACACAAAGTTTTATGTTTTATACAAACATCCAAGTTAAGTTAAAATATGCTTACCTGTAAGACCACTGATAAACTCATTTGAGTAATGTCCCAGTAATGATATTGGATGTAAAAAAAATTTGGTACACATGTGAGAAAATGCATACATAGGATTTACTTTTAGTACAGCGTCTGACATCATTGCTTCGTAATATCTAAAGCAATCACCTTTTCCAAATCCTAATGAAAATGATAGTTCAAAAATGAATTATTCAGTTATTTTATTTTTTCACACTATGACTGAAAATCATACCAATATGTAGCATAACAGATGAGTACCAACTCAGCTTATTGGGACGACATTCATCAGGCATTGAAGAAAACATGACCTGTTTAGCCATTTGTTTAATTTCTTCTTCCTGCATATTAAATATAAATTTAAATAAATAAATTTAAAACTAATTTTATCATAAAATACCTGCAATAATTCAAACCAAGTCAACATAAAACTGATTAAAATCATCATAAGAGTAATGAGAGACAAGCTTCTGAATAGTGTCCATTGAATTTTACAACCAATAACTATTATCAATACACTAAGGAAAATGGTTGCAAAAATAAATCTCTGTAACAATTAATACTTTGAATTACAATTTTGTGAAACTTCAAATATTTTCAAATAGCTTACATGTTGATAGAGATACATTTTCATTCTGTCAACAAAATCTATAGCATCATCGGAAAAACTCGTATGGACACGACGAATAACATTGTTAATAATATCATCAATTTCTACAAATGATGCTTTTCCATTGCCAAAATTTTTTAATATTTTTAATTCTTCAATGGTTGCTTCTAATTCTATTTTACCAATTTGTAATCCTTCATCCATTTTTGAAGACTGCAAAAATAAGTTATAAAACTAAATGTATTTTCTTATATTCAATTTATAAAAAATTTTACCTTGAAATTTGCCTTGAAAATAAGAATATTGATCAATCTTCTAGCAAAAACTTCATAGGATTTATCAGTTACATCCTTTTTATCATCAAGTTGTTTAATTACTCTGTTGAATTTAAAATGTATAAGCACATATTCATGTATCTAGTTAATTAAATTAAACTCACATTTCACTACTTTCAACAGTATTTGATTGTCGATTGACATTTGATTTCTTAGGTTTATAAGGACCAGGACTATAATACATTGAATGTGGATCCACATATTCTCTCATATTTCTAAATCAACAGAATTATTTTAATAAAATTAAAATTTTGAAAGAATGTTCTTTTAATTACTGACTAGCAACCAATACTCACACTTGAGAAGAGCTTTGCTCATTCACATTGCTGGCAAAGCAAGTTAAATCCTCAAAGAGTAATAAACAAAATATGAAGAAAATATTACATCCTTCAAAGAACTTCATGTTAAAAGCTTCATATAGAAATTATTGCTCATTAAGACTTCAATACACAATCCACCGATAAAATATAATCTTGTAATTTTTTACACTTGCTCATATTTTGACATTAAAACTCATCAACTCATATTACTACGAATGCGAATCGTCTAAATGACAAGCCCGCCACTCAATGTTTACAAGTGTTTACTATTAAGAATTCAGAGTTGCGACTTAGTACATACGCCGTTTACGAAACGAAGAGAGCTTAGGTTCTGTCTTCATTGGCTTAGAGTCACCCCTTCTATTCATATCGCATTACATATATTCGCAAATGTTGTTTTGCATTGAAAACTCTTTGTGTGTTTTGCGTCAGTCCCTGACGTCAGAACTCCGTATGCGTGACCGAAAGAAAGACGGGCATACGACTTCTAAACTTGTATGTCTGCTGTATGATAAATTGCAATATTTTCAAATAAATAAGGATTGAATATTTAACTCGAGCTACCCTTCCAGCTGCTTCAAAGATTTCGATAACCTACAAAAGTTTAGTTTTGAATCATCAAAGTAAATTTTATTTAACCTATTGTTCCGCTGCCGCACTTATTTGACATATGTCATGTAGCTTTACAGGGGGCAGCACGTAGCCGAAGTCTATCGGTGAGCGTTTATCGATCGGCGTCATCTGTGGTCCTGACTTTCCCAAATCCCAGCTCAGCTCACTGTGGAACAACTTGTCGTTGTGTCTGTGTCGTGTGTGTTTGTGTTGGTGTTGGTGTTGTGTTCGTGATTCGTGTTCGTCAATACAACAAACAGAGCTTCTCCGGTATTACTTTGCTCAAAGTACGCACCGCTACTCTAACGTCTTTTTATCAGCAAAGGTCATTGGAACGTCAACAAATAAACAAAATTTGAAATGGCTGATTCGTCCTTTGAAAAAAATCTCACCGAACTCGCTAAAATGAAGGTAAGAGTCAAAACTCATAACCTTAAACGTGATTATCATCTATTACAGTACGCACGTGCAGCTGGAAAGAAAATGTCTTTATTTTTTAAGCAGGTCTTTTTACCTTTAATTATTTACCCATAAAATCATTAGCTTTTCTAACGCTTTGAAAAATCGAGCCCATAGTTTGCCCATATTTTGCTTCATATGACATCTTTTAAATTGTTATTTGGCTTTACTTAGGTGGCTGACTTACGAGCTGAGTTGAAACAAAGAGGACTCCCAATTACAGGAAACAAAAATGAACTAGTAGAGAGACTACAAGTTGCTATTCAAGGTAGATAGTTTTATTTTCTTTCATTATTATGACTAATTAAAATTTCCAAAGCCAGCCATCAGCAGTACTAATCCTTTTGTGTGTTTGTTTATAGATCAGAATCTATTGGATGACAGTACTAATGATGATGACATTGATGAAGATGCTGTATTAGGTGTAAGTTACAAATCTTGCATATTCTAAAAATAACATAATATTGGATACTGGACTCATAAATTGAATGTATTTACAATATTAATTTTTTTACTTTTTGTCTTAAAGGATGAAGAGTTGGATGCTGAAGTTGGACTATCGGTTAAACCTGATTCTCAAGAGCAGCCTGAAAAAAGAAAAGCTGAAGAAAAAATTGATCCACCAGCTAAAAAGATTGTCCTGAATAGAAAAAATATTGTAGAAGAAATTAAAGAAGACGTTGCTAAAATTGAAGAAAAGACTTCTGAAAAACCAGATGAAACTGCAGAACCAGAAAGGAAAGTAATCAAATTATCAACAGTCAGTACTACAGAGGTATGATTTTTAAATTACATATAAAATCCAACATCAATATCTGTGTTAATTTTTAATTATTTACTTAATTAATTTTTTTCACACAGAGATTAGAAATGAGAAAAAAGAAATTTGGAGTACCATTATCAGAAGTAGCTAAGAAAGAAGCCAGAGCAGCTCGATTCAATATCACATCTAATAATGGTGCTGCTAGCAATGGAAAATCAGGAAAATCTGCAGCTTCAATTAAAAATTCAAATGTAGAGACCAACTTGGAACTTTTGAAGAAACGTGCTGAAAGATTTGGTACAAATGTATCAAGCCAATTACAAAAAGCTGAACTACAGGAAAAAATAGAGAAACGTAAAGCTAGATTTGGGGAAGTGAAAGAAATTGAGAAAGTAGTCCCAACTAAAATTAAGCTTGTTAAATGATATTCTGTTGAATATATATCATTAGCCACTTAAAAATTAAATTACTAAATAAATTTTTTCTTCACAAAAGTATGTAAATATTTTTATGTATTACTTGACAACAGAATTATTTTAAGTTAATATGTACTTTTTAAATGAATATTCATTACTGAATAAACTTTTTACTATTGTAGTTTTTTTGGATAAATAAAAAATTGTAATAAAATTAAAAACAAAGAATTAGATAACTCATTGAGAATTTTTTACGATGTATAACTAGGTTAAATATATTGTACACACATTTTGTTCTTTAGTTTAAAAAATATAATTGAAATACAAGATATACTCCAATAATAATTTATATAAGTTTAACATCATCATATTTCCGATCTAATTAACTTAAACATTATAAAACTGACTACAATTATAAAACAATATTAAAAGTAAACGCTCGTGAATTGACTTAATTGTGGCATCAGACTTGAACATGAAGAATTTTTCTTACGTATATTACAAAGTAATGCACTTCCTGCGCATGAAATTGTTTGCACTTGAAAAATAATCTACAGCTTTACACCCATAATAAAAAAATCTGTTGTAATAAAAATGCGCTTAATAGTTCAAATGAATTACGTGAACAATGATAAATGATGAGTCGTTAAAAATTACAAAATAATTCGAGCACTAAGCGCTATTTTACTTCTATATTCAAGATACATACATAAAAAATCATCAACAGTCATAATATTTATTGAACTTTTCAATTGAAGTTCTACAATTTTAGAAACGAGTTGTCACTCTTGATTTTTTGAAAGATATTTTGAAAATACTAGTTGCATCATTTATTCTTATAATATATAATGTTACTTTTTCCAACATTTTACACCACTCTGATGTACTGTCTTTGGAAGAGCATCCGTCTTCATTCAATTCTGAATTGAAATACAATAATTTCAAGTTTTCTCTTTTAATTATTTGATTCTAACGACACCAGTTTAAGATCGCCAGCGACGTGCTATATCTTCACAGCTTTCAAAAAGGCTATTGCATACATCACATCAAGTGCAATTATCTCAACTTTAATTCAATGCGATCACTTTTTTAAAATGAAATGATATACATACACATTTATACGGTACATTTAATGAATCTTGCATCTACTGAGTAAACCCTAAATCATTTACAAAAAAATCGTATATGATTCGTTTGTAAAAATTTTTCTTGCAGGGTTTCCAAATTAATTTATAGATATTAATTTAATAGAAGTAATGATTATGAATATTGAATTTATTTTCGTATTGCGCAGAATTCTTTGTTGATTTCGAACCAAATACTTTTCTTGATTTCAATATTCAGTTCTAAATTACCATTCTCATTTATCAGTTCCAAAAGTAAGGCTAATAACGAGGTTTTTGTGCAATTTTCATTTAACTATTTTCAATACAAGTATCAACAACAAATATCGCTAAATAAGTTATGCTCAACATTTTTTTTCAAATTGCAAGGAAGATCTTTATCATAAAGTTATATTCATTAAATATAGAATTGAAAAAAATTGTAATTAAGTTTCACAATTGATTTCATAGAGTTATATCATCAACTTATTGTTAAAATTTAAATAAAAATAATATTCAAAAAAATCATTAAATTATTTAATTCGTTCTCATAATTGTCTTCATTATAAAAAGAATATAATGTATCACTTTATCAACAAAATAAGGCCTGTGTTGTTTTGAAAACCAGTTCTAAACACTGGCAGATGCTCGTTTTTATATTATATGCTTGCGATACACAAAATGTACCTCTTGTTTCCAACTTTATTGTGCTTGCGGAAGTGAGTTAAGTTAAAGGTCTATAAAAGATAGAAGCATGCGCTACACTAAAAAAAAAGTCATGGATGACTGATTTGCGCTGGTAACAGGAATATTCACACCGGTCACAGGTGACAATCTGGATTTTATTTTGGCCTCGTTACAGAAGGCGAAGGCAGAGTAAAACTACCTGTAGAAACTGTCGCAGGATTTGGTGTTGAGGCTGGTGTTTCACTTTTACTGACACCTTCGCTCTTATATCGAATATTGGTGTACTCCCGCCCCAATTGAATCGATTTCTATAATTATAAGATAAATTCATCAAAATAATAATATAAGAATAAAATTTCCAAGAAAAATAATTATTCAAACAAACCTGTTCAGCTTGCATTCTTTGAGACACGGTTTCTATGTAATGTAAAACAGCCAAGTAAACAAATTTATATTGTGCTTCTGTTTGAACCATGCCCGACCTCTGCGATCGTACCCTTTGGATTGTTCTTTGAATATCAATTTCACAATCCAAACCTGAAAATTGCAACATGGTATCATTTGAAGCTGTCACGATTCTTCAACTCATATTTTGCACTCTGTGAGTTTTATCATTACCATGTCTTTTAATTTGATCAAGGATCATATCTATAACTATAAAGGTACCAGTTCTACCAATGCCAGCACTGCAGTGAACAAGTATAGGACCAACTGGAGATTTCCCCTCGGTAATGGACTCTTGTCTAGCATTAACGTCATGGAGGAAATTCAAGACACAGCCTGGGTCGGCAGGTACTCCATGATCAGGCCACGCCTTAATACGAAAATACATTTTTTATATTCGAGACTCGAAAAATATAATCAGAGGTCAAAAGTAAAAGTACATTACTTGAAAGTGGTAATGATAAATACGTCTTGGTGCTCTGTTTTGTGGTTTAGTCCCTTGCAATAAAAATTCTCGCAAAGTATAATCGGCCGTCGATGTGCGATTCAATGTTCGTACTTTCCACTCGTAGCCGTATTCACTGCTCTCGCCATCTTCGGGCCAATAACGAGCACATTTGTTCTGAAAATTCACAAAAAAGCTTATTTGTTGAACTTGTGAGCTATTAAATAACAATTTAAGTGGCTTACCTTTCCTCGTTCCATTTCTTTGGTGGTCATGACGATAACTCGAGTATTTTCCTGGTAGACCATTTGCCAAAAATCGGCAATGGTGTTTGGCAAGCATCCTTGAGTTGCGATGTAGCATTTATTGAAGATACTATTGTCTACGTTTCCAGTCGTACTCGACTCATCGTCATTCTGCGAATGATTGATTTTTTTTTTTTATAAAATGAAACAGAAAACTTGAAAAAGGTAAAAATAATCGTGTTCTCACTTTGATATAATTGGCATTTATGTAATCACCACCTGGATCTTCGGGGTCAAAGTCTTTTAGCTTGACTCTCGTGTGGTCAACTAAAAAAATGAATGAAAAATTGTTTAGCGAGAGATCGATTGCAAGAAAGAAACAAGTAACAAATGCACATGAATTACTTACATGGTAGAATATTTTTGTATCTGTTTTTCGCCCTGTTTTCGGGCCTGAGGCCTTCTTTCCTCGAGAACAAGTGTCGACATTCCAATTGCTGCAACGACTCGAATTCCTCCCAGAAGCCGGCTTTGCCTTTGCCGCGCACGGCGCCTTCCTCCTCGATTCCGTTCACTCCGTTCCAGCATAGCCAGCCATTGGAGCAGCCGTTCTCCTTGTGCAATTGGCGCACGCGGCTCTCGATGCCGCTCGCGTTGATCCTCGTCGCGTTGAACGGTTGTCTGAAATTACGAACAGCCATGGATCGCAACGCGTAAGTTTACTCTTTGCACGGAATTCGAGCCTAGGACTCACCTCAAGTGGACGACACTACCGCTCGTTTCGACCATTGGATTGCGCTTGTAGTGCTCAATGAGATCGCTGAGACTGTCGAATTTGTCACCACCCCCGACGTCGTACTTGTTGTCCTGCTTTCGTCGAAGAAAAGAAAACAAACAAGCTCGATAAGACAAGGCAAGCCGGCGCGTTTTGGAAGCTCCATAGAGTACTCGTTGAAGAGGGCAATACTCACTTGAGATCTGATCATGACGTGGGTGACGCGGTCGTCGGTGCGCACCGAGAGTACAAAGTCGCCGGGCTTGCTCTGGGACTCGCGCACCAGGAAGGAGCCGTTCTTGCCTCGCTCGAGCATGAGGCGCTCGGCCTCCTTGGCCGAGAGGTGGCCGTGGAACCACCTCTCGGTGGTGGGATCGGCGCAGTTCAGCGGGTACTTGAGCTCGATGACCTCGCCGTTCTTCTCGCGCAGCTGGCCGCCGTTCTCCATGTAGAATTGCACGAGTTCCGAGAGCGTGGCGAACTTCTCGCCCCCATAGAGATCGTAAAAGTCGCCGGTGTTCTGGATCTTGATGTGCGTCACTTCGCCATTGCGCCTCACCGAGAGCGTAAAGTCGCCGGGATTGGAGGAGCTAGGCCGCGCCAGGAACGAGCTATCGTATCCTCTTTCCATCAAGAGCCGTTCCGCTTCGAGACCCGAGATGTTTGGATGAAACCATCTGAAAGTCAAACGACACATGCTTCTAAGTCTGACGTATCTCACGCTGCAGCTCTTTATAATATTGCACATCCAGTAAATTCCCCGCGACGCGCTACGGTTATTTCGATACCGTAGAGGAGCGTCATCTACCCGTAATTTAACGCCGTTGAGACGAGATTAATTTCAGCTGGCTTTATGTATTTGCTGAGAGAGCAGAAAACAGAACGTATAGAAGCGATGACCGATACGTATCGCGTACTTGTGCTGTACCTACTAGAAAATAGTCGCAAGCGCGGGTGGCATATATGTGATAATTTTTTCTAACGCAAGAGGCGAAAGCACGGACGAATCGAGTATTTCTCGCGTACCAAGGTCCTAGCCACGGCTTGTCGTTTGCGTTTTTCTATTTCGATACAAACGCGCCTAGAGATCTTTTTGACATGTGCACAATAAAGAGGTCGTTCGAGACGTTTTCTCTCGCGCAAAAAAATGACTCCGAGCTCTCGCTCGAATAATGTACTTATTCGCGAAGCTTCGTAATGCATACAAATCAGCTCTCCTCCGAGTGCGCAATAAAATTCAAAACCGCATCGCTGCTCGCGGCACGTAGTACATTTACGTATGTATAAATATGTGTCGCACACATACACACGTGCAGACACGCACGACGAGCGCACAAATGACCGTCAAACCCATAGACGTGTTTGGAAAAAAGCAAGTGTTGCTCAAGCACTTACTTATAATTCGTTAAAGAACGAGAAGAAGAAAAAGAAACGAGATCGTCATCGGTAAACAAAAACATTGTAGTATACGAGCTACATTGGGAATTCGCGTGCGCATCGGCAACGAGTTGTCCCGAGAGTAAAAAATGCTCACCAAGTTATGTGCGCGAGAAAATATAAAATATGCGCGTAAACGCGCGCTCATTGTTCTGCGCTCTCGCGACGAAACTATAGCCGCCGTCGGTAGTCGTATCGTCGTCGCGTCTAATGGGAATAAGAAATAGGAAATGTTTATTCGCATAATGATGCAAAGGCGAATGAGATATTTTTCAATTATGTTCAATTAGAAAACACGATCGAATGCCAAGGTCGCTTACGTAAAACAAGCATCTACATAGTAATATCGATCGCCATATATACAGCACTGCACCAAGTGTGAATCCTTTTTTTTTTATTCTTCAATTTTTACAACAAAATGGCCATTCATATTATTCTGTGACATTGAATGTTTACTTATACGGTATCGTACTTTATGGATATACTCGCGCTTCGTTACATATGTATATCTATCCTATACATCGCTCTGATCCGCCGCGCCCACCACCAACGCACGATAACGAGCATCGAACGTTTCCTTTTATTTTTTTTTCACTCGACTTTTTAGCAGCTTTTCGATTTTTATAAATGAAATGAATCAGAATATATTGGACGCTTCTCGACGTGCCCAAGCCTGTACATTATAGACTATTGTGAGTAATCATTCACAATACAATGGTGAATTGCTCTTGAGACGCGAGCCGATTGATTCGAGGCAGACGCGAGCTATCAAGGACTCGCGAGCGATTCGTGCGTACCGTACAACGAGTGCCTAGAAAAGCGATGATTAAAAAGTGTAAACACTCGTCTCGGTGTTTGCAGCTGAAATTTGTGCATAGATGTGGGATTTATACGAAAATGGTAAGGAAGAAAAAAAGTCAAAATCATACTCACTCGCGTAGCGTACACGTAATATCGATTTAATGCTCAATGACCCATATATGGTTATCCAATAATGTGCGTATACACATAAGCGCGAGAGAAAGAGAGCGAACGAGACAGATAGGAAAAATCCTCGCGCACGCATCGCTTACGGCTCGAAACGATGTGAAAGAAATCCTAGCAGTAGGCAATACGAGCGCGTTAATTGTTGAGAAAAAAGTGAGATTGCTCGATCGCGGCCCGTGCGCAAATACATAAGAAGGAGTAATAATTACGAGGCGTGAAAAGTAGTGAAAGCTCGGGCTCGCTATCGTCTGCAGTCTCACGTATATCAAGATCGCAACATCTGTAATCGGCGCATCTCCTTCGGAAGACTACAGCTCGAGCCGTAAGTAGCTCGTTGAGCAAACGGTGTAGCTCTCGGGGGTCGGTCCGATCGTTTATCGGACGCGCTCCGTGTACGAGAAAAAAAAAGCTGCTACGAGTCCAGCGCGTATTACGTACTCGATATATACATGGCAAGGCAGCTGGGCCATCGCGGCGTAATCGCATTACTTAGGCGCATCGATAGCAGGTCACTCTCGCTTTCAAAAGTGCCTACGGAGCTGCAGTTGCGGAGCGGGCGGGCGCGCGCGCACGAGGACTGCATCGCTGCCTAAAAAAGTCACACTGCTGCACTGCCGCACAGAGACGGCTCGGCCTTCCTTTCTTGTTATTTAAACGGCCGCGGTATCTCGCAAGCACTCGCAAATGATTTTTCTCTACAGAGATGCGTATTTACCCTGCTTCTTCGGTCCGCTGGCCGTTGTCGTCTCGGATCCGTCGCACCTTATATCACACGAGCTGCATCCGCACTACTCCTATTCCTAAAGCGTTGGCTTCAGCGCGTAATGTACAGCGAGAGATAGTTGCGCCGAATTACAGCGATTACACAAGCTGCAGTTACAGAGCTGTATCGGAGGTTTTTGCGACGCGCTCCGTATCCCGCCGTAAACTAGTAGACGTTAACGCAGAAGAGGCTGCACTGCTCTCCGCCAGTGCTCGCGGTTTGCAGCCAAGCTAGCTGGCGCGACCAACGTCAGCAGATGCGCGCTATATGTATACGCGCGACTCTCTCTATATATAATACGCTGTGTAATACGCGTGTCGATGCGGTGCGCCCGCGCACTCGGCCAATTCTCGCGCACACTTCTCTCCTGCACCTTGGCTTATACTGGACTATACTGGAGCTCCTGCTGCTCCAGGCACAGGCAAGGTGCCTATAATAACTCCTCTCCTCCTACCTGTACATTATATACCTGCCTCCCTCGTACTCCTAGAACGTGCATGTGTGTGTGCACGTACGTGTGTGCATGCTGTCACGCTCGCGCGGCTTTTTCGACCATACAGCAGCTGCGATACTCTATGTACTCATCAACGCGGCCCAACGACGCGATTTCGAGAGCAGAATCTCTGCTGTATGTGCTCGGCTGTATTATAAAGCACGAGCTCTTGCTCGGCGACTATATATATATATATATAAGCTAAAAGAGCCAGGAGCACAGAAGGCCATTGCGAAATCGCATGTCCGCGTCTGTATTATGTGTAGAAAAATGACATTGGCTGACGTCACTTGTCTTTATTTTTTTTATAAAATATATATCTTACGACGCGTGCGGAGGCTCGATGAAAGCTGTCCGATGTTGCTGCTGGACGTTGCGTTTCGCGGATGTAACGAATGTACGTAGGAACGATGATGATATCATGGGTGCACCTAGAGCTTTGAATCTACGTGAATTAACGTCGAGTGCACGCCGCCTTCTCGCGACGCAACGAGCCATCAATGAGCATAATGCACGACGAACGCGATCGAGAACCAACAATTATGTCGTCCGATACAGATACACGCAGATGTTGAGCTGTCAAGCCTATAACATCGTAATTCCTTCTGTCAATGTTCTCGTAACGTTTATTTTCCTGTTTAAATGCACACACGTGAGACGCTTTTCGACGTTTTTTTTATACTGTTGCCTTTTATTATTCGTCAGCCACGGCGATGAATCTTGCGCGAAAACGCCAACTGCTTGTGCTATATTTATTTACAAAGCCAAATTCTCGTACAACCTTGAAACTTGAAAAAAAAAGAAATAATACGTCTACATAATGAGCGCTTATATCAAAAAATAATGCGAGGACGAGCGCAAAATACACGCGCGAAAAAAATATTGAGCGAAACACTGCACGCGGTGTACATAGCACTGGTCTAATGAAGAGCTTGACGAGACACAGCCGAGCAAAACTGATTCATTCGTAATATATTACAAATACGTTACGATGACATTCCAGCGCGAGAATTCGTAATTATAAAGGACTTGATTTTATTATTTCTTTTTTGTGTGCAAAGTGACAGCCTCGCTGAGAATCGTACAGAAGAAAAAAAGACTCTTAGGAGCGCTGACATAACCGAGGGCCCGAATAATCCAATGATTCATTTTCAAGTGCTACTAATCCGTTGCTTTGATATATACATTTCAGCATTGTATTTCGGGTGAATCGTTTCGAAGGATATGCGACAAATGAGCGTACACGTTTTAATGGCATCGCGAATGCTAATGAGGTCATTGTTGGCGCTTCGTTAAACAATGGAAAATTAAATATTTAGACAAAGTGCGCGCAATAATCAGGTATTATGTAAAATTGCACTATGGCTATTCAACGTAAGCAAAATTTAATCGCTGCACTCTGATAAATAGCTTCGCGGATTCTCAAAATGAAAACAATAAAAAATAGAGGACGCGTTTCGAGTCGTTCAAGTATGAATCTTTTTTCCTCGCTATCCATTGCGAAAGATAAGATTTTAAGCAATTCCGGTAGGCGAAAATGATAAGGTTTTCTTTGAACTTTCTGTGAGCTGCCGAGGATCGCCGCGCGTAACGTTTTTTCCCGATAATTGCTCGAGAAGACACGATCGGGGCTGTGAGAATCACGTTTTGAATTAATTGTTAAGCAGCGTAATTCGCATATATTTCAGATATCACATATATAAATATAATACAGACATTCTCGAAAAATTTATATCTGAGCGTACGCCGAGTTGCATTATACGAACGGCGCGTTAATTCGGTTCCCTTGTGAAATAATCATCATTCGAGTTGCCTGCCCCGGGATCGGGTCGTTGCCGCTCCGTTGCAGCGCGAAATCTTCGCGTTATAAAACAATATAAAAATATATTTCCATAAAAGTGAAAGTGCACGAGTGGCACGAGCCGTGGATCGAGAGAAAAAAATCCAAAGCTAGTATTTTTCATGAATTTTCACACACGTTTATCTTTTTCTCTCTAGACGCACTGAGTGCACACACACACACACACACACACACACACACAGACACATCTACACACTGATACAGACGAAAAAAAGGAAAAGGCACCGAAATGATAAGCATCGTGCAGAGAAAGTCCATCTCTCACGGGCAGCGGCGCATCTCGCTCCGTGCCCCTGCGCGTTGCGGACAGCTTTTTTTAATCCGCACGCTTTTTACGCGTACAACTTGCTTTTTGTTCCATAATCACGTTCGAATCATTGATTAGGCACGTAATACAAAATTTGCGCGCTCGGGTGGACGGCAACGTGGTAAATTTGTAGGCGCGAGCCCGCGCGGGCGTCTTTGCCATACACGCCTAACCTTAAAAAACGCTCAACGATTCATTGTCGGTGAAAAAAAAAGCCGTCGACGTAATTCGAAATTCCCATGCGTGCGAATCGGTATCTGACAGGAATGTTTATGTGGGAAGCTAATATATATGCGACGTTCAGTCTCGTTTCATCTAGATTTCCGAATTGTTGTGGCAAGTAGCAGCGATTGGCACAGATAACGACGAGCTTCGTGCATCTACGTTCGAGAGACGTCAGTTGGGTATATGAACAAAGGTAAATAAACGAAAGCGACCGCGATTGGGAGCAATTTTCGGAGTTGACACGTTCGAGCGAGCCCGAGAGTTTTGTGTAAAAAGCTCTAAAGAATCAGTAACAACAGAGTATTCGCAAGCATACATTATATAAATGTATCAATTGGTACGATCAGCAGTACCTATTATTTACGTTTTGCAACGCGGCAGACAAGTAAAAAAAAATTAGAGAAATAAAAAAAAATACTTATTAATTGGTCATTAGATATATATAGTACACGGATAGGCTTTGCAGGTCTTTGTGCAACCGACCGAGGACTTGGTGTCGCTCGATATGGGCACTTGAAAAATGTGTATAGACTGGTCATCGGCTCGTTGGCGAGCACAGTATTATAACACAGGCTTGAATTCCGAGCTCTTACCTTCTCGATGCCATCTCGGTTCTTCTCCGACTCAAAATACGTCCCTCCAGCTTAAATCGTTCTGGATACAGCTCACAGCTGATGACTTGTGTACTCGGTCAATTATACACACTGGACGACGAAGCAACGTTGGTGTGCGCGAACAGTACACGTACACGAGGTGCGTGTGCAAACGTCGTTGTATGTATGCACTGCACTCTTGGTTCTAGTAGCTGGCCGTTGCACATATACATGTATATGTATAGAAATGCAAGTCTCGCAGTCACAGCAGCAGCAGCAGCAACATATGCATGTGCGCACAGACACACAGACACACGCGCCAACACAAGGAGTAGCAAAAAGTCAACAGAGGAGAAGAGCGCGGGTGAGCGGGCACGCGCACACACTTGTCAGCGAGGCACTCCTCGTGTGCGCGCTGCTTCGATATATGTTTCGCTGTATAGGTGTTGGCTATATCGGTGCGAGAGACGTGCGGACTGCGATCGCGTGTAGCACACCGTTACAGAATTTCGCCGCCACTATAGCACGTAAATGATGCCTGCTGAACTCGAGGACCCACGAGGACTATACCCAAACAACTGGACTGCGGCCCTTTGACCAGTCGCAGAGTAGGCGCAGTCCTCGATTCCGAAAAATGCACCGACGATCCGTCCTTGTTTTCAGTTGCAGTCGGTCAAGTGTCAACAGCATACGTCAAGCAGCAGCTGATGCGCGCACATCACGTACTACACGCACACACCCACACACATGTACACGCGTACACAGAGCGAAAAATTGTCCGATATCAGATGTGTAGGTGAGGTATACGGATGCAACTCCTGTGGCCAGGTGAGCTGCCAACGGACGGAATAAACATGAGAATGTAGCAAGCGAGAGAGAAAGAGAGAAAGAAAGAGAGAAGCGAGCTGCGCCGAACGCCAATCTAATCACGGAGCCCAGCTACGGAACAACAGCTTGGCGGCACCTCCGCACCAGTGGCTCGGTCGACGAGACCATTTCGTATTATGCTCCTCGAGAATAATGCTATATACGATGTACGACGTGATCCAGAGCCTCCGGGGATCGGACCGAAAGATATATATGTTATGGGAAAGCGACTTTCTGCGGGATGCAACTTTTCGGAGCAGTCACACGGATTATAGAGCGCAGCTACTGCCCATATAATGTGTGTAAGTCGAACTGCTCTGCTGCGACTGCAGACTGCTCGCTGCTGCTGCTAGCTCTATACGTCCGTATCCGTTTGGCTTGTGCGGATAAGTTTGTTGCACCGCACCGAGCGACGATCATCTGGCGAAATATAACTTTGTTGTACGCCCGGTCGGTTCTCGCGATGTGCCGCCAGTCAGCCGACAGAGGGAGCTAGCGATATTACGGAGACGTCGCGAACTCGCCGCAATCATTTCGGAGCATAACAAAAATCGCATTATCATATTGCGAATTTAAGCTTTCATCTTTCTTTGGATTGGGATATTATTTCATTGCAACCTCGCAAGTATTTGAAAAGCATGTACTTTTGGCAATTTCTTAAATACAATCGTTTTATAGAGCTCGAGATGTTTCATCGGCGTGACAGTTGATCGATCATTACACTCCCCGCTTAAAAGAATTGTCGTTGAGCCAAGGCGAATTTTTCTTTCTTTTACCCTCGACGCACGTTCAAATTTCAACCATTATTAAGTCAACGATCGCAGGTAAGATGTTTGTTTATGATTTTTAAAACTGCTCCTTGGATAAGACACTTTCCTCCGCGGAATATTGCACAGATGGCCCCACCGACCCGCTCGGACGGAATGAAATCCCTCGAGGCATTTAATTATAGCCGCGACATTTTTTCTTGATATTCGAATTTACGCGATTTTCTCGCTCAAGAGAAATTAAAACGGCATTGTCTACACATTCGACTTGTTCAATCGCGTCGCTCTGCAACACACGAGTACAAAACGAGTGCACATATGCTCAATGAGAACGGAAACCTAAGATATTTGCCAGAATTGTGTAGCTAAAACTACTGATGTATGCTCCTTGAAGTGCGAATCAAGTCCAACGTCTGATGGGCTCGTTAGTGCTCGCGTACACAGAGTGTAATATACACACACACACATACACACACACATACGTCTCAATCTCGGCTAATAAAGCAATCGCAGGAAAACTGCACCGCTGCGGGGGCCACTTACCTAACCATGCGATAATGCAGCATTTTGCGCGATTTATGTTTCTTCTTCTCGCCGGTCGACATTCTGACAAGGAACGCGGCGAGGAAATCGGGCGGCGACGTCGGTGTCCTTGAATGACTCGGGATAAGATGGGCAGTACCGTTTCTGGCTCGGACTCCACAGTGGCGTTCGTGACTTTCCTCTCAGATGCCACGACACCAGCAGGCTATTTTCCTGTATTTTCCAATAATTATCACAAACTCGAAATTCACGCGTTATTTTCGTCCGTCGAAGCAACTTATTGCCCGAGGAAATTTGACACAATACAAGAATGACACTTGGGAGGTCGGATGATACACAAATCGATCCGAATGTTATGATTCTACAAATCACATATAACGTGTGTTATGGTATATAGAGTTTTCCCTTTTTCCTGTGTTTACTGTTTGCAGGCACGATTTCGACATAATAATTTTGTAAACAATGTCGAGAGAGATCTCGAGTGCACCATGGCTTGGAAAAAATAGGTCATTGACAATGTTACAGCATCTGAGCATTCGTGCAGTTTTCACGGGCTCGATAATTAATTTAGACCGATTCGCTCCGACATCTATTTACATTTTTATTGACGCTGTGCCAGCCCAAAGTATGGTCAACTTGTCTTTACGTTTTGGTCCCGAACTGAAAATCAGCTGTATTATTGCGCATCCCTTTCTGACCTCGATTACGTTCGATATCCGGCGCTGCTGCTCTCGTTGTCCAAGTGCGACCAATCGGACAGAATAATTCGATTATCGCGTGGGTGTGTTAACTAGATTTTCAATAGACTCGTCAACCTGAATCTCGTACAGATTATTTTTTACGTTTTTCAAATTTTTCGTCTACTTACATCCGATTTATTGGATAGTGCACCAAATGTGCACCGCGTTTTTTCGAGCTTGCGTAATTGTATTTATCGTTTATGGACTCGAGAAGATCGATAGGGTCTTATTTTCGTTGTTTTGTTTGCTTTTAAATGAATAAATAAAAAAAGCCAGGGTAAGATTTTCTGATAATCTTTTACTAGCTACCTATATTCTCATACCGAAGAACATCTCGATTAAATCAAAACAAAATTTGCTTTTGATGAAATTTACTTTTAATGACGGATAAAATTCAAAATTTCAACTGAATTGACGTCGGGAGCTTTTAATAATTTGGAAAAAATTGAGAAGAAATTGTTTGGTTCAAATTAAATTATTAAACAGTTTTTAATTTAATTTTTCCTATAAAAACTTATTTCTATCGTCTATCACTGCTCTCTCGGCAGAAATAATAAGTCCGTCAGCAAATTAATCAAAATCTTGTTGTGTGCATGTTTGATAAATTTAACATATAATAATGTGAGGTTTATCGAAAATACAGAGCCCAACTAAAAAATTGCCCTTTTCGCAGCTCTAAAGAAGACGCGAAAAAAACTTTCGGCTGATCTAATCGTTGCATGAATAGCTGCAGGAAACAAGTAGCCAATAAATTTACTAAGAGTAGTGAATAACAGTTTGCAAAATTTTGTTTAGTTTAACAATAAATCACCATAACGACGATGAAATGATAGTTAAACGCAAGAGGTTCAGTTAATACGCAATCATTTCGGCCTAATTTTTTGAGAAATTGTAGAAAAACATCTATATAAGTTATTTAATAATAAAAATTATAAATCATAATTTTTGTTCGCTCTTGTCGATACCAAAATCTTTGCCACCTTGATGGACTGTTTTTTGGTGTTTGAGTAAATGCGCTTTTTGTCCAAATTTCTGCTCGCACTTATCGCATGCGTAATCTCTGCAACCCTCGTGGACTGTCTTTTGGTGTCTAATCAATTTCGATTTTACTCCAAATTTTTTCTCGCACTTGTCGCATGCGTATTCTTTGTGACCTTCGTGTATTGTTTTTTGGTGTCTGCACAAATCCGATTTCCATACAAATTTCTTTTCACATTTGTCGCATGCGTAGTCTTTGCGACCTTCGTGAACTGTCTTTTGGTGTGAGAGCAAATGCGATTTTTGTCCAAATTTCTGCTCGCACTTATCGCATGCGAAATCTTTATGACCTTCGTGGACTGTTCTTTGGTGTCTATTCAATTTCGATATTACTCCAAATTTCTGTTCGCACTTGTCGCAAGCAAAATCTCTCCGACCTTCATGGAGTGTCTTTTGGTGAAAGAACAAATTCGATTTTCGTTCAAATTTCTTCTCACAATTGTTGCACGCAAAATCTTTGTGACCATCGTGAACTGTACTTTGATGCCTGATAAAATCCGCCTTTCTTGCACATTTTTTCTGGTATTTATCGCATGCGTAATCTTTACGATTTTCATGAACTATTTTTTGGTGCAAAAGCAAAGTCGACTTTAGTCCAAATTTCTTCTCACAATTGTTGCACGTAAAATCTTTGTGACCATCGTGAACTGTTCTTTGGTGCCTGATAAAATCCGCCTTTCTTCCAAATTTTTTCTGGCATTTATCGCATGCGTAATCTTTACGACCTTCGTGGACTGTCCTTTGGGGCTTAAAAAAATCTGATTTACTTCCACATTTTCTCTTACACTTTTCACATAAGTCATCTCTGAAAATTTTGTGTAATATTTTTTCGTCAAATGTTAAATGCAGTTTTTTTCTAAATTTTTTCTCACACTCCTCACATGCGAAGTTGTTGGGACTATCGTGTACCGTCTTTATGTGCAAGAGCAAATGGTGTTTAGTATCAAATCTCTTTGCGCACATTTCACACAAGTAATTTTTGAAAACTTGGTGGAATATTTTTTTGTGCTTGAGTAAAGTTGATTTATTTTCGAATTTTCTCTCACACTTGTTGCATGTGAAATTTTCGCGATCTTTGTGTACTAACTTTTGGTGCGTAAACAAACTTGATTTTTTCACAAATTTCTTTCCGCATCTGTTACATGCAAAATCTTTACAGCTTTCATGTACTGATATTTGGTGTCGAATCAAATGACTTCGCAACTCAAATTCCTTTTCGTATTTGTCGCATGCGTAATTTTTTTGTTCATTGTGAATTGTGTCTTGGTGTGTCATCATGCTTGATTCTAGTGTAAATTTCTCCTGACAAATATCGTCTGAAACGATACTATTGTGTTCACTTTTATCCATTTTAATATCCTAATTAAACGATAGATCTTTCTATTTAATATCACGAAAATAGAATGAGCATTATTGATCTTCTGGTATTATCGATTGTTTCATCGGGAAAGATAACATTCAAACTAATTTGTTTGTTTTTACTATAAACATGATCAGCGTTCAAGGGGCGATGTCAAAATCGTTTATGATTGGATTGTTTACAATTAAGGTACCGATTTATCTGTTTATACATTATCCTTACAATATTTGAAAAAATTAAAAATTCTAACTTGGCGATAATTTCTTCGAGGAATTTTTTGGCCTTCTAAAACTAAGTTCTTCTCAAAAAACTTATGACAAACTGCATCGAGTTCACACAAAATAACATCGAGTAAGTGTATGTGCATGTATCTTAAAAAATTTTAATATTCACTCCAAAATTTGCCGCCTCCGCGTGATTTGCGTGCTCCATAAGCCGCCACTGTCGACGTACAATAAAAAGCAATCGAATTATAAGCATGTCGAGATTCGGCGGTACAAAGATCGCGGGATCGTCAAGCTTGTATATTATAAAGCTGCATCGATGGCGTGCACGGCCTACATAACGGTTATTTGCTGCGTGTGAATCGTGCGCATAGCCCGTGACCATAAGAATCGCAACTTATATGCATACGCCTATATGTGTGTGAATGTGTATGCACGTGTGTTGGGCACGTATAAATTCCACTGTCATACGGATTATGCGAGGCTCGCGAGGTCAGTGTCGGTCGGTCGCGTTCTCCCTCCTGCATGTGGACTGCAAAATTCGCGAGCTCTCGAGTGCGCCTCTCTCTCTGTCTTTCCCTATTGTACATATAGGTACATTAGCCTCTCGAACTCATGCGAAGGATGCATCAAATC